AAAAGCTATTATGACGCTCTTTATTAAAACGTACGGCCTTATGTATATTATTTTTAATAATAGGATTGATAATTTAGCGTTTAGGAATAGGCTTCTTATTATTAGTGACGACCTTCTTTTTAAATTTCAATTTAATAACTATATCCTTTTTTTATAAAGGGTTGGGATTGGAAAAGTTAGAGCCTTTTTCTCCATTGCTATTTCCGCCCTCCTCTCCAAAGAAAGTATTATTATAGTCGTCGTTAAAAGCGTCTTCATAATAATTATTATTATAATTCCTAATCTACTCGGTACCTTTATAGTTACCAGCGCTATTACGTATTTAATATAGTAATACTATCGTATAATTATTATAAATACTCGGTATTTTAAATTCTTACGATAAATCTTTTTAATTTCGTTTTAGGATTTAACTTTCTTAGGTAATTATTAAGTTAATCCAAAATAATACATGGGTATAATATGGGTAAGTCGAAGGTAAAGTTAAAACTTTATTTATAATAGAAGATTTTAAATAGAGAAAAGAAAAGAGCAAGAGAATTAGGTATAAATGTATAGACTTAAATAAATACCCTAGTCGTATAAGCGATAGCGGGACCTATATACGGGTTGCTATTAATTAATCCCTTTACTTATATCCCCTTTACTTATATAGTAAACCCTATACGTACTAGGATCTACCCTACAGCCGGTTTTAGCATAGCCAATTGAAGGGCTCGTATCCCCTAGACCGTACCATGCCTAGAATCCTCTATGTATCTCATTCCAGCACCCTCGTAAAACTACCTTCGTATATGGCACCCAGACCCAGTCCGCTAGCGCCGTCACATCAATCCTTTAATAGTATTTTCCTTTTTAATAAAAGAGTCTTTTAATTATTGGACTATAGTAGGGCTAGTAGCGCTATATCAATTGGCTAAAGCGGGGACCTAATTATAAATAATTTTGAATTCAATATTTAAATAGAAAATAAGGCAATAAAATTCCGATACTTATTCTTTTTACAGTATATTTATAATAAATAATAAGTTAAACTCTTAAAATATAGCTTAGGGATTTCCGCAGTATAGCTTAGCGAACTTTTCCTTAATTAAATAATTAAAAATAGGAGGTTAGAAGGGAGTAATATTTAAAAGGGGACGTTAAGAACAAAATTACAGATAAATAATTCAATGAACTTTTCTATTTTCTACTTTAAATCGTTAATAACACTATACCTAATTAAGCAAACGTTAAAAGTCTTAATATTTTCGACCGCCGTTATAATATATTAATTAAATAGATTAAAGGATAGTTTTAATTCTTCGTCATCTTCTTTTATATTAGCGACTATATTAGCTAGTACTTCATTAAATTATTTTAGTTAATAATATATATAATATAGGGACTTCTTACGAAGGATTATAGACTTACCGCAAGAATATTCCTTATTGGGGTAGAGGCCGTTATAGCGTTCCTTATTAAAACGTACGGCCTTACGCGCGTTGTCTTTAATAATAAAATCAATAATTTAGCACTTAGGAGTAGGTTTTTTATTACTAATAACGACTTTCTTCTTAAGCTTCAATTTAATAATTATATCCTCTTCTTATAAAGGGTCGGAATCGGAAGAATTAAGACCTTCTTTTCCGTTACTATTTCCGCCCTTCTTACTAAAAAGGTCGTTATCCGAAACGTTATTATTATAACGGTCGTCGTTATAGTTTTCGGTTTATTTGGTACCTTTATGGCTATTAACGCTATTATATATCTAATATAGTAGTATTATTGTATTATTATTATAAATATTCGGTATTTTGAATTCTTACAATAAATCTTTCTAATATCGTATTCGGTTTAGGATTTAACCTTCCTAAATCATTATTAGATTAATTTAAAATAATATAAGGGTATAGTATAGGTAAGTCGAAGGTAAAATTAAAATTCTATTTATAATAGAAGATTTTAAATAGGGAAAAGAAAAAAGGAAGAGAATTAGGTATAAGTGTATAGACTTAAATAAATACTTTAGTCGTATAAACGATAGTAGGACCTATATATAGGTCGCTGTTAGCTAATCCCTTTATTCGCATCCCCCTTTACTTATAGGATAAACCCCTATACGTACTAGGGTCTACCCAATAATTAGTCTTAATATAACTAATTAAATAGCTTGCATCCTCTAGCCCGTGCTATACCTAGAACCTCCATATACCTCATTCCATCGCGCATAGCACCCAGGCCCAGACCCAGTCTGCTAGCGCCGTTACAAATAGCTTTTTTCGTATATTTTATATATTATATTATTACCCCTCTTACGCGGTTAAATTTCGGATTTATTTAACGGGAATTTTCTTTTCCTAATATTAAAGCCTTTAAATTTTTTACTCTTTTATTGTAACGAGCGTCCTTCTTTCTAATATTATAATTTTCGCTATTATATTTCTAATTATTATATTTGATATTAATTTCGTTAGCGTTAAAAGTATTATAATAAATTTTTCCTCTTCCGGTGGTGACCCTATAACGAACGCTATTAATACTATATTATTTAAAATCCTTATAAATTTTTATATATTTAAAAATATTAGCGGTTATTTCTTTATCGAATTTCTAAGCGCTATTATACTACCCCGGACGAACGATCCTAACTGCGTTAATAAAATTAGAGTACTATAAGTTAGTAATGAAAATTTCTTCGATTCCTTTATTCTAGCCGTTATTTATAGTAATAAATTAAATCTATAATTAATTAATTTAATTCTTAGGTTCTTTCGTAAAGATAACGACGGCCTTATAGTATATTTTTTTTATTTTAATTTAATTGTTAACTACTTTATAGTTCGTTATTTATTTAAAGTTTTAATACTATTTATTGGTATTATATTCTTCCTTTATAGTTCTATTTTATAGTCTCTAGCTAATCAATAATTTTATTTAGGTACGTAGAGCTTTATTATTAATTACAAATTCCTTCTAATCTTTTTTATTATTAGGATAGAGGTTAACCTTTAATTTATAAAATTATTTATTAATAAGGTCGTCCTTAGTAATAAAAGTATTGATTACGATTTTGTTTCGGTCGTAATATTTAATGGGGTTTTTATAGTTAATTCCGTCTTAATAAATAATAATTTAGGAATTAATACTACTATCGAAATGTATAAGCTCCGCCTCGGTATTATTAATACGGATTCTAACCTCCTTTATTATAAGGTAGTAATTAGGATAAAGCTATTTTGGAGCGGATAGCTTTTTAATTTTTCCTTAAAGCTAATCCTTAAAGATATTAAGGATATACTTCGATTAAAGTATAGGTTCCTATCGTGACTAGTCGTCACTGTCTTTAAAGTAAACGACGTTTTCTTTCGTCTCGGTAGGCTTTGAGAGGGATATTATAATCTGGTTATTATTTACTATCTGTACGTACTAATTGTTGTATTAATAAGTTACATATCAGACTATTAATTATTAGATTTACTAATATAATTAATTGAATCTATGTAACTAATTTGAATGCTCTCTCTACAGAAGGTTTGGGGGTCTAAGGGTATCCTATATTTGCCAAGACCTATTAAATCAGGTGACTGGGGACTCTGGCATCTAGCCCACATCTGGCCAGAATACCACCCTAGAATCTAACAAGTGGAGGAGTTGAGGACTTCTTGGCCTGGATTTTGGCAGCTGCCTTGTCAGGCCAGTCCCAGTGCAGCTTCTGCCAGGGACAAGCCTCAACGTCCACAACCCTGGCCACTCGGGACCGGCCTGCCATTCGGTTCTTGGCGACCCACCAGCCCCACAGTCGAATTTTCCCGTAGGACCTGGATCATACAGTGCGCCCAGCCGATCACCGTGTGCCAAGACATGTCGTTGAAATCGCGCCGCTCCCTGCCCCGCCGCCCTCCAGTTCACGCAGGCGCAACCACACAGAGCAGGCCATTTCTAGTTGTCCTTTCCTAAAACGGACAAGATGTAATTCCTCGTCTCATCAGAGCCTCAGCAGCCCAGTTCGAGCTTCCTTCCCCCTCGGTTCTTGCCAGTCTCTCGCTCCTTTGCACATGTTCCCGTGTCGTTGATGAGCCGTGCTAGCTGACCTGCAAGACGAGCTAGCAAACAACATTGGATGGATCCAGATGCGTCACGGTCATGCGGCAACCGGTCCGGTACATGCATGCTAACGGTGAAATGACAGACAGGACAATGGAATGGCGACACCTTCTTGCTTCTGCCGCCGTTGACATGTCCACACACCACACGGACAACAACCACAACGGCTGGAAATGGAATGAACAGGGACCCTGCATTCTGACTGGCTCGACCAACCGCGGTCCTCGAAATGGATATCCCCAGGGGAATGAAAACCGATGGCCTTGGATGCCATGCCTCCATGCTGCATCTCGGTCACGATCCCACTGTGCTCTCGGGCCCCACACATCGCCAGTCCCTCATGTCCATCGGAGGAGACTCCTACTGGGGGCCTTCTTCTAATTCGGTCTAGCTATTCGAGGTACTCTCTCTGTATGGCGTAGTATGGCTCGGAAAGGGGCATCGACTACCGGCGAGAATCAGCCATGTCATCCATGCCACGGTTCGCTCCTTGTCCAGATGCTCATCATGTTCTCGTGCCAACTGCTGCCAGGGTCTTTCCTCGCAGGAACCGGGCAGACACATACCTCTACAGACACAGATACATCATCGCAGTATGTACCCCATCGTCTGGATGTTGCATATCCTTCCCCGGGACTAGGTAGTCCTCGGTCGTCACATTTCCTTCTCGTGCTCCTCCTCCTCCTTCTCCTCCTCCATCTCCTCTACTAGTCCCCCAGGCCTACCAGGGTCCTTGCTCAGCTCCTTTCCCATCACAATCTTCCACAAGCTTTCAAAGGAGTTCTAGCTTCACCACGGCTGCTTGAAGGCATATTTGAGTCGACTATACCCTCCTCCTCGTCAGACGATTGCGGGTCTTGTCTTGTGCCTCATCACTATCGGTATCCTCTATACACTTACACCCATTCGGTCTTCATCCCAAGAGGTTACAAGTCCCCATACCCATACGTCAAGGCGCATCTTAGCACAGCCGGGTTGACCAGACGACCCCGAATCGAGTTGACATACAACAAATCCACTTGAGCTTCGTCGAGCCTCGTCCGATATCACAGACCTTACGCCATCTACCTGGGTTGGGTTAACATTCCAACTTCCCTCGACTTGACATATACGCCAAGAAAGACCCCTATATCTCTAGGGACCCTATCCTTACCTGTCGCCCAGCATGGCACAGTCAAAGGTTATCATCTACGTGTTGCGTAGGGAGCTTCGCTTGTCAGACAACCCCATCTTCCACCACCTCGCCAACCCAGAGTCCAACCACGGTTTTTCACACCTCCTTCCTGTGTACGTCTTTCCTGCACAGCAGATTGACCTCTCCGGCTTCGTTCCAGAAGAAAGTGAAAACCCACATCCTGCTCCCAAAAGCGCTGTTGGGGGGTATGCAAGATGCGGACCATACCGTGCCAAGTTCCTGGCCGAGTCGGTTTGGGATCTCAAGACCTCCCTTCAAACAAATGGCAGTGACCTCCTCGTCCGCGTCGGAGCATACAAAGATGTTGTAAAGTCGTTGGTCGAAGGGCTCAAGGCGAAAGATTGCCAAATTGGAGCTGTATGGATGACAAGCCACGAAGGCTCGGAGGAGAAGAGTGACGAGAAGGCTGTGGCATCTTTTTGTGCAAACAGTGGCATAGACTTCAAGCTATGGGATGACGAGAAATACTTTATCTACGAGCAAGTTCTCCCCTTCCCCTAATGTGTGCCTTGACGTCAAAAACTGACCAATGTTTGGGATACAGTCGAGATACAGGAATCACAGACCTCAACGATCTCCCCGATGTCTTCACCACATACCGAAAACACATAGAGCCCTTGCGCGAGAAGGCAAGGAAGACACTGCCAGTGCCTGAAAAGGGGGCCTTGCCTGCATATCCCGACACAGACATGATTCCAAGTCAGCAACCACCGTTCAAGATCCCAGATACTTGCGAGGAATTGGTGGATGCCGTCGTCAGACCGGTCAAGAACTTCCTGAAGAATCTTCCAGACTTTCCGGAAAAGGCAGAATCATCCCACCCATTCAGAGGCGGAGAGACATTGGCTCATAAGCGAATCGACCATCTCGTCATGAGTGGAGGCATGAAAAGTTACAAGGACACCAGGAATGGCCTCCTTGGACCAGAGTTCAGTACCAAGCTGTCTGCGTACCTCGCACAGGGATGCGTCACCGCTCGCCAGATCCACCACGCATTGGTCGCCTACGAGGATGGAACAGATGCCAAGTACCAAGGAGCCGATGGTTTTGGCGAAGGGGATAACCACGGTACGGAGACCGTCAGAATAGAACTCTTATGGCGCGATTACATGAGGTTGTGTCACCAGAAGTATGGTGACAAGCTCTTCCGCATGGAGGGCTTCAATGGCAAGCATACCGATTACGAGGGCGAGGATAAGAAGCATGGCTGGAAAACTGCCAATACGAGCATAGCGTTGCCTGGACAGGAGCCTACCCCTGAGAAGGTTTCGGAGATCCTTGCAAGGTTTAACGCCGGAACAACAGGCATGGGACTCATTGATGCGTCGCAACGGGAGCTTCTACACACCGGTTACACATCCAACCGGGCGCGGCAAAACGTTGCTAGCTTTCTTGCCAAGCACCTGGAGATTGATTGGAGATATGGCGCAGAGTGGTACGAGATGTTGCTCGTGGACTACGATGTGTCCTCCAACTGGGCCAACTGGCAATATGTGGCCGGTGTGGGCAACGACCCTCGCGGTGCGGCTCGGATTTTCAACCCTGTCAAGCAGGCATTTGACTACGATAAGGATGGTGCCTACGTTCGGGCGTGGGTTCCCGAGGTCGCAAACTTTGAGAACCTCGAGAATGTTTTCCAGGCTTGGACAGCCTCCAAAGAGGACCTGAAGACGGCAGGCCTGGAGGATAACATCATGGTTACGGATCCGGTTAAGCCTATAAAGTTTAACCTTGACCACAAGCCATCCAAGGTCAAGAAACGGCCCTTCTTCAGAAAAAGAGGCCCCAAGAACCGAGATGCGCAGGGTAGCGCTGAAGGCCCGGGTAGTAGCGATGGCCATTCTCGCTCTGGCGGCAGTCCCGACGGCTCCGGTGGCAGCAACGGACCATCCGAATCTAATTGCGCCGCCCCAGGGACTGACCAGGCGCAACAGACTTCTCAGGGTAGCAGCAGGTCACAGTCATCAAGCAACCATGGTGGGCGCTCGCACTCACACCACCACAACCACCACAACCACCATTACTCCCACCGCGGCAACGATTACTTCCGAGGCGGCGGTGGGCGTGGAGGTCGCGGCGGTGGAGGAGGCGGATATTCTTCGTCTCAAGGGTATTACAACATCGGTGGTGGTGGAGGAGGTTACCGTGGTGGTGGACGGGGCAGAGGCGGAGGAGGAGGATTCCGTGGCCGGTATGCTCCAAATGGGGGACCAGGTGGACATCATCACCATTCCGAGCAACAAGTAGCCTCACAAGTCCAGACTGACGCTTAGGATCCGTCAGCTGCTACTATGTTTGGTATGTTGCCGAATGTGATGACCACGTACCATTTGGACGGCTACTATTCTTATTTCCCTTCGCCGTTTCCATGCCAGCCTGCGTACGCTAACCACCATATGTAGCTGGGTTGAATATTGAGGGCTGGGGTTCTGCGTGGGGTTGGGTCACGGTGGTTGGTGGTGGAGGCGGAGGAGTTTGGAGAGGAGGAAATTGGAGAGGAGGAGGTGGTGGAAGACATGAATTTCCCTGAAGAATCTCCTTGTTAAATTTGTAAGGGACAATGTGGACTTTCACCCCAACGGCAGAAGACGGAGAATAGGTCATCTATGGAAATGCCAAAGCGGAGCATGTTCTTTCCGCTACTGATAGAGCGTGGTGTTTACTCTTGTATTTATAGATCTTTGATGTTTGTCTTGAAATCCTGCAGATCGATATACGATGTAAGCATATAAACAAAGAATTGAAACAACAAACCCACACAAAGTCAGTCGGCCCCAATGGTGACATAAATGGACGGTATGATGATGATGGGAATCTGGTCCCAGTTGATCGATGGGATGGTTGTTGAAGGCATTGCATAAATAGAAGATGACTTGCTGAGCGGTTGTCAAAAATATTTTCATATCTAGAGGTAGGTACCTAATCCCGTCGCTCGTCATCAAATCAGTCAATGAAGCGAGCAAGAAGTTTCGTTCTGCAGGAGGGCTTGAAAAAGGAAAGAACGATCTTCAGCTGTGTCGTGGTCAGGAAGATTCTGGACCTGTTAACTCAATGTACCTCTGTTAGTGAATACAGGCTCACGCACGAAGCAGCATCCCCATTATGAGAGCCGTACTAACAGAGTGAACCATGTGAGGCTCTCACGCTCTTTCCTCAACTTCCATTGTTTCCCGCTTTATCCAGACGGAGACTTTGGTCCGGGCTTATCACTCCCATCTTTGTCAAACCTTCAATCTGGTGAAGAGAAGGAACGACTAATCACATAAGGTGGTGCAAGATAATTTTTCTGTAAAAGTTTTGATAGGGGCGTTAAGTTCACTTGGGTTCAGCATGGAGGGCAGTACCTTCCCTCTACTACATGCGGGTACAGATATCGTACCTACCTGTTTGGTTCACGCCGTATGGGACGATCCTTCTGCCAGATCAAGTTGTTGTTGGAATTGCCGAAGCCGCTTTCTCATGGCTAGCTGAACAATCGTATGTTACCTTTCCTTGCTCGAGGTATTATTCGCTCTTTCTGGATCAGGCTGGCGATGTAGTGACTTGCATTCAACTGACTTCGGGCGGCAGCTGTGGCTGATCGTGCATGATGCAGGCACCATCCATCATTGCTTCCCCTCGCTGCCAGAGGTACCTTCCCGAGCTTTCCTCACGCAAATCTACACCAAGCTAGGTATCTTCAGCTGTTTTTTGAACTTGCTTCCCTTATCGAAGTTCCATTATCTATGGTGGTACTGAAAGTCTAGATCACCATGCCCTCCCTTTTTCTTGGATTGCTCAAATGCACTTTGAGTTTGCCATCTTTCGATTCTCCCCGCCTTTGGCATTTTTTCCTCGATGAGATTGGTAGCCTCGCGGGTTACCTTGCGTGGCTTGGGTCTAGATAAGCCTCGTGCAGAAGGAAGATGGGTCTAACTGGCCTGGCCGACAACGATGTGGCTCAATTTGGGCTTGGGAAAGGCAGCTTTGCAGCGAGGCTTGCGCAAAATAAGCAGCCATGAACTTCTGGAGCAGTGGATTGGGTCCTCATGGGGGTGTGTGTGCGGCTTTTGGTGAGTACACCCACGAGTGAGTGAGCCTCAACCCTCAAGCGGAAAGCATCTCGTAACTTCTTGTTATACGGCTGGAATATCCCCGCAACATCTCCTCGCTTAGGGCAAGGTGTCATTGGAGAAATGTTCCCTAGGGCGTAAGTTCGTGACACATCCTCAAAGCATTCGAATGGGTTGTCATGCTAATCGGTTCCCAACTCAGTTGTTGATTCTATTGATCCGATAAGGCTTAGCTTTTCAGAATCACAGAGGCGCAAGCGCCATAGAGCAATCCTCGTTCATTAGTCAATCATTTCCGGGAACAACAAATACGTTGAGCAAAATTCGTCCGAAGGCAAGCAGTTTACTTGGGTAATCCAACTTCGTGTAAAACCTGTCCTAACACGACCCATCACTCTCCGAGACTACTGATTTCTTGCCAGTTCTTCACCAACTTGTCCTTCATCCAACTTGGTCGCATCCTCTTACAGAAAATTTCTTTTCCATTGTCCAATATTGGCCTCAGCTACGAAGATGTCCTCTCCGCTAGATCGAGAGCTGACAGATTTGTGGGAACGGATTCACGTAAGTTAGCTCTCATGCTCCATCCATTCCCTCAAGACCCTACCTGGACTTATTCATTGTTGCCAACCCCCACTTGATTTCGTTTACTGCCTTTTGTTAGGGTACGACTTTCCAATTGCTAACTCCCTGATTTAATCAACCAGCAAGCTCAGAGGAGACTTTGGGTATGTGTTCCCCTCATAAACCCTTGAAGAAAAGCGATTTTACTCATTTCCATTACTCACCAGAGATTTAGGATGGTATTCATTTTTGGGAACCTAGCCCTGACGAGCGGTATTTGATAGACATCAGGCGTAAGGTACGTTTTTCCGCGCCAACCTTTGCGAAGCTGCTCCAAGTTCTTTTACTAAATTGATGTAATCATAGATAGTACGTGTTCTTATCCTGGCCCCTCTGTTAGCGGATAATTCAGGATAGCCAAACCGATAAACAGTTCGTGACCACAACTCTAAGCTGACCTATGCTGCAGACGGTTAGTCTTCAAAATATGTATAAAAGCTAGTCACTTCGATGCATGCTGACAGAGTTTGCACCTTCAGACTGAAGTCAAGAACCACAACTCATGTGCGGAGTGGGCACCTGGATGGGCTTATGACAGTGATACACCTTTGCCCATTTTCGCATATCGACATGCGCTTGAGGAGACAGAACCCGGGGGTATCCTTCAACTCATCCCCCGGGATGGAAGGATTGATCTCTCCTTCAATGGGAAGTGGTCCTCGCAAAGAGACGTCTGGCACAACTCAATACCCAACCTTAACCGACTCGCCGGCACCGATACAAAATCTTTGTTGGACGACATGAAACAGGCCCTACAAGATCTCGGAGAGTTTGGTGTACTTGATATTGCAGACTTTGATCCTGGTTCGCTTGACCGTGTGGATTATCGGCTCTCAAAGAAGCATCTCTACGTTAGCACCGTGCTGGGCGGAGAGTGGAATTTCAATCCACAAGCCATCGAAGCTCGCATCGCTTTGGAGAGCGGAACAAGGATGCTGCCAAAATGTCCGGCAACGGAGAGAACTGCTGGCTGGAACCGAGTCATGTAAGTAAACAATGCTCTACGAGTAATATGCCGCTCATCACTGGCCACAATTAGACTAAACTTATCCAGACAGATACGAGGCCTTGCCCTGGCTTTGAGAAGATCACGGGATCCCTACTTCCTACTTGCATTTCGTCGTCAAGAATGTGACGGATGTCCAGTTGCCGATGCCATCGATATGCATCTCGCATGTGAGCGGAGGGGTGGCACGAGCGCAACAAATCCGTACTCAGATCGTTCAACCGCATTTCACATCACCTTCTACGAAATGATACCAGCTATTGAAATAACGCATGATATGAACGCAGGCGAAGCCGAGAATACAAGAGCTGATGAGAGAGAGAAGAAAAACATTGAAGCCACGGAGTCGCTGGTCAAGACGTGCGAGAATAATAACATCAGGGTTGGGTATCTTTACGAGAAACCTCGAACAGAGCCAGAGAATAGCGGGGTACAAATTCCAAGGCCCCGAGCCTTCAGACATAGCGCCTTCACTGTAGGTGCTCAACCCCTTATGTTTCTGTCTTCTCTTCCTTCATCGTCTCTTCTCGTGTCTTTCCATTATGCTTTCTCCTCGCTTACAACTCAACGTCCTATAGGTATTCACTGTCGCAACGATTCCAGAAGTCCTGGTATGATCATTTCCCACCTGTCACCAAGTGGACGAGACAAGCAACTGACTTGGTGAATAGCCTTATCCATCAAACCCGAATGAAAAGGAACGTTGGACAACAATATCGTTCGCTCCCACATCGTTCTTCAACGACGGGGACCAGTGGTTTGCCCCAGATCATCGACAAGGATGGCCATCAGATGTGGTACATGGTTACAGCGGAACGGCTGTTGAGCTTTACATAATAATCAAGGCCCTCAGAACGGTTGAGACTCGATGGCAAAAGTTGGAACGATATATCAGTGGCCTAGTTGTTCAGGATTTTATGAACCCAAAGGACTACTGCAGTCTTTTGTTTGACGACGAAACCTTCAGCCGGTCAAGGCTGTATTTCTGGATTATTGGATTCATCATTGAGGTCCATCCTTGCATCGAAGACAACATCACCCAGTGGAATCTTTACCAAAGAGCTCGAATTCAGCCCCTGCTGGATGACCTGAACTCCAAAGATCAAGCCGAAGTTACGAAAGTCGAAAGAAGTATTGCCAAAAGCATCACAAAGTACGACAAGGAAGGCAACGAGATTAAGCAAGATCTCGAAAATCTCAAGAAAAGATTCGATGAAATATCGGAGAGCGTACGGGCATTGCGGGACGGGGTAAGGCTCATAAGCTTTTCCAAAAGTCTATGGCTGCTAACACGGTCCTCGATGTAGCTATTCAATGCTAGTGCCCTTATGGAAAGCAGATCCGCTACAAGGCTGGGTCAGAACGTTCAGCTCCTCACCTACGTGAGCATATTCTATTTGCCCCTTGGATTCTGCGCTGTAAGTCCTCTTACTCACGTTATTGACTGTGCTTATACCAATGGAATTCATAGGCTCTCTGGGCGGTCCCAAACATTGACCAATTCAACACTCGGAAAGCATTCATAATCGCAACATGTCTTGTCTCTCTTGTCACACTCACAGTTGTCTTCAATATGGGCAACATATCGGATGCTCTTGGCCTCACCTACTTTCATTGGAGGAAGAAGACGTTGCAAGCTATGGAAAACGATCCCAACACAAAATGGCAAGGTCGCCGGGGGAGGTTTGATGAGTTTCCGCCTAACATCGAGCGTAGAGTCGCCTCAGAGTGGTGGATAGCTCACTATCAAGCGTATCAGCTAGGCCGAAAAGTGAAGGATGGTTTGAAGACATTCAAAGGTCGTTTCACGGGAAGAGAAGCTAATTCAGATAGTATTCCAGCAAGCGGGACAGGCAATGTGTAAGCTTGACGGGCAAAGGCTTTTTGTTGTTAGTTGTGAAGGAGCGGGTCTACGAAGAGACAGGAGAACTTTGTTGGAGCCTCTTTACCGACAGATCTGATTTACCATGGAATATATCTTGTCAGGGAGTTCCGTTTGAGTTGGCAGTGCGGCACAAGTATCAATCATGTCCTTTCTCTATCGATATTCTCGGTACCTCTATTCATTCGTAACGGCTATGGGGGATTGATGTATTACATTTCACATTCAAAACCATCTTCGCTTGCCAAACCGACAGCTCTTTTACACCGCCGACTCTGCAAAGCCCAACACGTCATCCAGCGCCATTACCTCATACGGCCCCAAGTTCCATGCCAGTCCAGCACTCGGGTCCGCTGGCGTCCTTACAGCCGTAGCAACCATGTAATCCGGTCCCATTGATCGCAAGCACATATTCACATCCTCCACCTTCTTCCCCCTAAACCTTATCTCAAACTTCCTGAGCACCTGCGCATCCTCTCCCTCCTCTTCATTCTCCTTCGTCTCAACAGCCGGCACATCCCAAGCCGGCGTCGGCCTACTCGGCTTAAAATACCTAAACTCCAACTCCCCCAACCACTCAGCCAGCAACGCCTCACCCGTTAACTTCACATACGCCTCTCTCAATGCCCAAAGCGCATAAAAAGCCCTCAGCTTCCCATCCGCCACCTGCTCCGGCGTCGGCGGCCCCCCTTCATTATCCCTAGGCACCAACCCCGGCACAGCGCTCAACACCTGATACTTCAAATAACTCGTCTCCCCAACCGCAAAAACATCAGCATGCATATCCACAAAGCTGCCCCACCCTTCCTTGCGGATGAGCTCCTGATCACGATCTCTGCGCTCTGAAGTACAGACCACATCCACGCCAACTTGAACCGCCTCCGCCCGCCCCGGACTGGGATAGTCCGCCACAGCCACGAGCGCGACGATCCCCGCCTGGTGCGACACATTGAAGGATACCGGTTGTGCGCCAGTCAAAGGGTTGCGCCAAATGGGCTTCGTGGTGCGCTCGTCGCGCGTGAACCCGGGCGTGGTGGATGACCAGGACACGCTTGCCAGGCGCGCGATGGCGTACTGCTTGAGTAGGGCGGAGGCTAGAGCCATTTTGGCGTCGCGGACGTGGAAGTATTTGAGCACGGAGGCGCGCTCGGTGGGGGTGAGGAGGGAGAGGGGGCGGGATGCCTGGGATCGGGGGGTTAGTGCAGTTTCGAAAATGGTTCGAACGGGGGAAGGGCGGCATGCGCGGGGAAAATCATGTTCGGTTCAGGGGTTTGTTTACATGGACTTCGAGATCGCGGGTCTTAGCGGCTGAGGGGAACCAGGACCGCGTGTCGAGGATCCACTGGACTAGGACGGGTTTGTTTGGTGGTTCCGACATCTTTTATCGCTTATTTTTGGTGGTTTGTGTTTTTGGTTGTAAGTGGTGATTGTGAGTTGTTCTTGAGACGGTTTACTTGGGGCTGGATGGTTCGATTTCGAGTTATGTTATGGATATGTTTCAGACATCAGCTCATTCGGCGGTCTGTGATGAATTGAAGCACGGACATGGGATGATGATTCGGGAGGAACGGAACAAGGCAATGAGAGTTGAATCAGTGAAGGTGAGTGGAAAGTAGCCGAGCTGACAAGAGAAGTAAGTGGAAGCTGACTCGGCCCCCCGCAGCGATGGTCCCGGTCGCACCATCATGCAAGTCCGGGAGTGGTGGCGGAGATCCGGGTCGGGTATCCACACCTGCCCGGACACGCAACTATTTAAATCTCCACCGCAACTTCACCACTTTCTCTCTTTCCTCTTTTTCTTTTCTTTCCTCATACCCCCGACTGCTTTCCCTTCGGGGGTATCGTCGTCCGCCTTCCACCAAAGCACATCGACCAAAAAGTCATCATCATGTCTCCCGCCAAATGACTTTTCCATCATCAACCTCAAAACTCGATGCGCTCAGGACGACCACATCATGTTTCCTCAGTTCCGCCAACCGGCACATTTCCGCAATGCGCCAGCTGGCGTCGAGCACCGAGTCGAAACACCCCAACCCGCGTTCCGCCCAGGGGTTGCGAACAGAGAACCAGTAAGCGGCGAATCCGTTTCACAAACCCGAAAGCGTTTTGAGCGCCCCGTCGCTCCGCCTAGGGTTTGCGGTTGTCAGTAAGCGACAACACATACCCAAAGCGTTGAAAGCGACAATCGTTCCGCTAGGGTCGGTGTTCCCCGATTTATTTTTTTCCTGATCTCATTGCTTCCGGCCTCTGAGGAAGCCGGGGGCCGGAGTTCTGATTTTGGGTCGGGATGTAACCACCCGGGCGTCGAGCGATCATTTACCCTGCTCCGTTGGATTTTGTTTCACCTTTTTTTTTTTTTTTTCGTGTGCCATGCGATCATGGGAAAACCGGTTTCGGTCTCAAGAAAGCTGGGACTGGAAGACTATTCGAGACGATTTCCTGCGTCGAGCGGGAAGGGAGGCTTCGCGTCGAACTAGCCCGGAAGACTCCTGCTGGAAGGTCTTGAGCTCTTATGAAAAGAGTTCGGCTGAGGAGGCAGTTGGTAGTTTTCTGCTTTGTGCTAGTTCCGCGGAGTCGGCCAGTTTCCTCCTTCAACCACTCTCTGTCTCCCTGCTGGAAGGGCTACGGTCTTTGCCACTCTCCCCAAGAGACCAGCAAAGATTTCCATGCCTCTTTTATCGGCAACTGTCTGAGGAGGCGTTGATTCTCCGCCGGAAGTGCGCCTGTGGCAACACAGGAAGGGCCTGAGGCGATGCGAGTCCGCTGGAAGGATGGGTTGCCAACCCCCCAAAAGAGCTAGCGGCGACCTGAAGCGAGGATGTTGACGGATTGAGTACCCTTCTTTGAGAAGATTGAAGAGAGTTTGAGACGACTACATCAGCCCCTCGTAACGCCGAGAGTGGGGCAGCCCGGGTGAAGCAGCTTGGGAAAGGGGCTTTTGTCTGATGAGGAGAATGGCTTTCTGGAAATTGCTGTGGAGGGTTCCCTTGCTGGAAGTCTTTCTTGTTGTCAAGTTCCTCGAAGGAACAGAAAGAAAATACGAGCCTGAACCTTTACGATGGTGCGTCGGATTAAGGACGGATGGACATCTGTCTGAACAAATACAGGCTACACCAAGAAGGACATTTCGGTATCTGATAGATCCACTTCAGCCAAAATACATTACTTTCCTTTGTTCACCTTATTGATGCTTTGATGTTATGCGTGATAGCCATGTGATGAAGATGTCACTTTGGGTTGGGTGTTGTTGATTAGGCTGAGGAGAGAAACAGTAAATAGTAAGTGAGATACATTATGGTGATGAACGTAAGTGACATGTAACAGACAGCGGGAATGTCACGAGCAAAACCTAGTTCATGGAAATACGCAACTGGCTAGGTACTATGTCGTCAACTCTCTAGTCCCACCCAACTCCCTCCTCGCATTGCACACAACAAGACAAACCCATTTCCCACCCCCCAAAAGTCCAAAACTAAAAAGAAAAATCCAAAGCCCTTATTTCGAATATCCTCAATAATCCCCCCATCGAACCAAAAAAGCAAAAAAGCTAAGTCGCCCAGGTAGGTTTGTAGAACGAACGACAATACCCCAGCTGCAGACCTACGAAAACCGCCACGCTAAGTTATTCATCAACGGTAACCACTGCGCCATGAGACCACAGGGCTCCCCGTTGTGGTAGAGGGGCTAGGGAACGGACCTTATATACCCGCTGGTGCCTGGGCCAGTCTGGGAAGGTGCGCGGAGGCGGGTGCCATGTCGTCCGATGTCTGTTATGCCGTGGGGAAGGGCGTGCCGGCCGGGCGGCAGCGGCGGCAGGAACGATGGCAGCAGGCACCTGGGGCTGGCACCGTACGCAGCCGGTATGTATTGGGCTTGCGAATGATGCCTTGGGGGCTATGGTCAGAATTGGGGTGGAATGATATTACCTGCCAGGTAGAGGCACGCAGTACAGCAGCGCTGTGTTTATATTTCCAAATAGTCTATACTCTATCCACAAGATCATGGAAAACCGAATCCTTTCTACATCGCTCTCCTTTCTAATATCTCAATCCACACAGACCGCCGCACGCCTAGACTAGAGTTTAGAATCCGTCTTCCCAGGATTCTTCTCCAACCTCACCAACCCTTCCTGCACGCAAGTAGCCAACAACATGCCATCCTTATTATAGATCCTCTGCGTCACCACACCCCTCCCATCACCCGCCCACGGACTCTCCATCTCGCTCAGCATCCACTCGTCCGCCCTGACCTTGGCCGGCTCATGGAAGTAGATGGAATGATCCAGACTGACCATCATCCCGATCTCCGGCCGGCCCACCATATCCTTAGGGTGTCCCAAACCCTCCCACTCGTGCAGCGCGCGCACCCGCTCCTGCAAGTCCTCGGGCAGCTTCCCAAAGTCCTCCGGGTGGAAGGGGAACCGCCACAGCTTGTGGATGCGCCCGATGGTGCCGATGAAGTACGAGTCGCTGACGTACGCCAGCGCGGTCAGGTGCGCCTGCTGCCCTCCCTCAGCGCTGATCTTTCCTTTAGCTCGGTACCACTGCCGCGCCTTCTTGTCCTGCGGGCGCGGGCTGTCGGCGTTGGTGACCTCGATCCGCGCGCTCTGGAAGGGGTTGGGGCTGGAGCGGACGAGTTCGGGTTCGCCGTCGTAGTCATCCGGAGGCGGTTGGCACGGCTTGCCCGTCTTCTCGTCGATGGGCATGGATGAGGCGTGCGAGACTTGGCTGCCCCGCGGCCCGCTGGACCCTTCCCGCACGAAGGAGATGGTGGTGGTGAAGATGCAGCGGCCCTTTTGGCGCGCTTGAACGGTCCGCGTGGCGAAGGAGCGGCCGTCCCGGACGAGCTCGACGTGGAAGAGGATGGGAAGTTCGGCGGAGCCGGCGAGGAGGAAGTAGCAGTGCATGGAGTGGACGAGGAAGTCAGATGGGACGGTCTTTTGGCCGGCCGCGAGACACATGGCGATCACGGCGCCGCCGTAGATACCGCGCGCGCCAGGGGGATGCCATGGTTGGCGGGCATTGGTGAAGATATTCTGCGTATGGTGTCAGTTTATGGTGATTGCGATGATGGAAATGTGTCATGCAGGGCTGATGTATGTCTGGGAGACATATGCATTGGAGGGATGTGATAAGATGGGCAAGGCGAGATGCCATATGAGTCCAGACTTACAGGTCCGATCACGGCCAGTTCTGTGACCTCCGAAGTGTTCTCGATGGGCGCCTTGCTTGGGTCCTCAGGCGGCGGCCTGATGAGGGTAGGGCGAGGCGCCTCCTTTGATTCCTCTTCCGACTTTCCCATTGCGTTCGGATTTACAGGTGAAGAGTCAAGTGTATGTCACACAGTGAAAGTGATGTAAGACGGCGGCGGTAAACACTTGAGGATACCAATGAGACTAGGCTTGTTTATAATCAAGTGGAAGTAGGTCGAGCAAAAGTATGATTAATCAAATAATATGACCACCGTCGGCATACCTAGGTTAAGAAGTACAGTATGGAGATTTGTTTGGAGGATGTTTTGTATCATTGACCAAGGGGAGGTCAGCCATAGTGGGATTCCCATAATTGCCGAGGTACCGCATTGTTGTCTGGGTTGGGCGGATTGATTTCCGCGAGAAGGCCGCGGCCAATGGAAGTGGTGGAACGGGAGCCAGGGTCTTGGACATGCAACTATCAAGACCACCCCGTCTTGGTACTCTGAACTTAGCATATTATCAGATCTTGCTGTAGTTCCGGGGCTATGCACAACACGCGGAGCACCCCTTTTTGACCCCCTTGCCAGTTCATCAGAACCCCCGCCGTTATCACCTGTCAGTCAATCAAGTTAGGACAACCCCACGATAACCCACTCATGCTTTGGGAATTTAGACTTTGGGGACTTTTTTCTACAACCATTCGTTTAAACGGCGGTTATGTTGGAACAAACGGAATGCACGTGCAACAACGCTGTCCCTTTTCCCGGTCTGCCGTGTGACAACAGATTGAAAGAGTGTGTGGCACTCGAATGGTTCCCTCCATCACACGAATCCTGCCGCTTGTTGTCGCCGTCCATGGCGCCCATCCACCGAATGGCAAGCGAATAACGTCATTTCCAGGTTCTTTGGGAGCTAGCCCAAGAGATCCAAGAAACCCAAGCTCCTTGCTCAACGCTTTGACCCGCAATACGGAGTCTCATAATTAGTGGCATAGTGAAACACGTTGTCGATACCAAGCAGCGTAGCTGTCCTTCTGTCCCTTTTTCTGACGACAAATCCCACCATCTCTGGTGGTCTGGACTTTTTGTTGCATTGTTGTGTTGCTGTTGCAACTTGCAACTTTTGCCTGTCTATCCTTATCCTCGAGTCCCGTCTATAGTGTATAGTGCGGGGGTAACAGTTACCAGCGACTCTTCACACTCTCTTCACATTTCTTGATTCTGTACCTCTTCATCTTCACCTAATTCCCCAGTCTGAACGAAACACCAACGCAATGTCTGACACCGGCGAAAGGTGAGTACATCACGTAACCCCCCTCGAATGTTTGCTGTGGTTCGGGCTTTGAACCGACCTGACTGCATCATTCAACGTCCAACAGTTCACCCCACCTGCCCGCATCTTGCTTGCCCTGTTTACTTCAGCTCCCAAGCTCCCGTCGCTTCCCCTTCCCCGCCTCAGTTTGACAACTGCAGCAGCAACTGCGACGGCCCCGAGTTCATGATCCAGCTTAATTAACATCGACTAATATTTATCCTCCTTCAGCCTCCACAAACGCTCCAAATCCGCCCGCCTCTCGCTCCTTAGTAGGCGCAAGCCGCCAGTCGACGACGACATGACCTCCGACGATGGCCAGGGAGCGTCCGGCTCCCCTAATACACCCCAGAACATCCAAATCCCTAGCCAACAGCCGTCCAGAGGCCACTCCTCCAGATTGTCCACCGCTGGCAGCGCCTTAGGCCGAACGCCCTCGAACCACCAAGCCACCCCTTCCGTCGGCGGATTAAGGTCGCCATCCATGCTATTCGACAAAGGGGCCGGGGCGTCTCTTGAGTCCTCCGTACGCAAGTTTCGTATCGTTGAAGCTCTTCGTAACGGCGACACAGCTTCCATTTCCAGAGCCATCCGCGACACTGCCGAGAACAACCCTCGCATGAGCATTTCGTCCGCCATTACCGGCCCTCTCGAAGATACCACGATCCTCCACTTGGCCATCCAGTGTGCCGAACAGACTGTTGTCGAGTACGTCTTGTCAGATGGCGCTGGCTCCCTCGACATCAATGCCCGCGACAAAGACGGAAATACCCCTTTGCACATTGCTGCCCAACAGGGACGTACCCAGATTGTTCGTCAGCTTCTCGAACACAAGGATATCAACGATGCGATCGCAAACCACCAAGGGCGCTTGCCCATCGATCTCGCTCGCAATCCCGATATTTTCCAGCAACTCCAGCTCGCCAGATCGCTGTTCGCTGAGGACAAGGTTCGACAGGTGCAGAACCTTATTCTCCTTGGCGACTTTAAGACTCTCGAGGAGGTGTTGGAAGAGCCGCGTTTCAAGACTGTCCTCGATATCAACAGCACCGAATTCGCCGCCGAGTCGGCCACGGTTGAGAGCGGCGGCACGCTGCTCCACGAAGCCGCTCGTCGCCAAAACACCAAGTTGATCCAGGTCCTACTGCTGCACGGGGCAGACCCCTTCCGCAGAGATCGTAACGGCAAGCTCCCGCAGGATGTCACAAAGGACGAGATTACAAAGGCTATGCTCAAGAAGTCCCCCGCTGCTGTGGCTGCCCAGAGGGGCATTCAGGAGAAGGCCGTCTTGGGATCAGCCACACATGGGGCAGCTGCTGCGGCGTCCGGCGATCCCTTGGCGGGAAGAGAGGCTCGCGAGATGAAGGGGTATCTGAAGAAGTGGACTAACTATAGAAAGGGATACCAGCTTCGTTGGTTCGTTTTGGAGGATGGTGTCTTGAGCTACTACAAGCACCAGGATGACGCGGGTTCTGCCTGCCGTGGTGCTATCAACATGCGCATCGCCAAGCTTCATATGACTCCTGACGAGAAGACAAAGTTCGAGATTATAGGGAAAAACTCGGTCAAGTACACTCTGAAGGCCAATCACGAAGTCGAGGCAAAGCGCTGGTTCTGGGCTCTCAACAATTCCATCCAATGGACCAAGGACCAGGCTAAGGAGGAAGAGAGACAGCGTGCCCGCAATGCTGAACTCCTGAGGCAGGCAAAGGCGGAACATGCCCATAGCGTATCTTACGCTGGTAGCGACAATGCTAGTTTCGTCGAGCACCGCCGTCAGAGTGTGCAGCTTTCTCGGATGCATTCCACGGCCAAGGCTTCCAAAGCCTCCTATGGTGCCAGTGGCAACGGAAGCAACGAAGAGGATGACTTTGTGGATGCCGGAACCGAAGCAGACAAGGGTGAGCATCACCACCACGCAGATGACGAAGACGATGACTACGGGGAGGGTTCCAGCGGACAGGATGTTCCATCGGCACACAAAGATGCTTTCAACATCACTGCACAGTCTGCAAAACTGCAGCTCGACACAATGGCACAGGTCACCGCGGCGCTGTTGGCTGAAACCAACAAGAACCCTGACCTTAGATTGTCGGATCCCCAGGCGTCTCAAGCCCTGGCTGCTTATGATGCTGCAATCCGCTCCCTTACGGGACTTGTTGGCGACCTCCTGCGCATTTCCAAGGATCGCGACGCCTACTGGCAGTACAGGCTTGACCGTGAGAGTGAGATGCGCCAGATGTGGGAGGAAAGCATGGCCCAAGTTGCCAGGGAGCAAGAAGCCCTGGAGGCTCGGGTTGGCGAGGCCGAGGCAAAGAGGAAGATTACCAAGCGTATCCTCAAGGAAGCACTTGGATCTGGCATCATTGACGAGAGCCAGGTGAAAACGGCTGCACCAACTGCTGCCGCTGCCGCTGAGGCCACCGATGATGCCGACGCCGAACAGGCTGATGCCAGACCGAAGTCGCCGGTCCAAAGCATTCGCCGCCAAAAGACCATCATGGATCAGGTTGCAGAGCTGTCTGACTCCGACTCGGATGATGAAGAGTTCTTCGATGCGCTCGACGCTGGTACCGTTGAGGTTTCCCAGCTGCCCCCTTCGGAACCCGTGGCCTCACAGAGCGAGACTCAACTTGTGATTTCGGATGGTACAGACATCAGCGACTCGTTCAAGGGATACGAGAATGGCATTAGGACAAAGTTGAAGATGGATGCGGACAATAGGCCCACTATCTCGCTCTGGGTAAGTTTCAATTGTTATGCTTGATATCAATCATTTTACTAACGCAAATCTAGGGTATCCTCAAATCCATGATTGGCAAGGATATGACCAAGATGACTCTTCCTGTATCCTTCAACGAGCCTACATCGCTCCTTTATCGCTGTGCCGAGGACATGGAGTATGCCGACCTCTTGGATCTAGCCGCTGATCGCGCTGATTCGATTGAGCGTCTGATCTATGTTTCCGCCTTCGCTGCCAGTGAATACGCATCAACCATTGGTCGCGTTGCTAAGCCGTTCAACCCCCTCCTTGGTGAGACCTTTGAGTATGTGAGACCGGACAAAAACTACCGCTTCTTCATTGAGCAGGTTAGTCATCACCCGCCCATTGGTGCAGCCTGGGCCGAGTCCCCCAAGTGGACTTACTACGGAGAGTCGGCTGTCAAGTCCAAGTTCTATGGCAAGTCCTTCGATGTCAACCCTCTTGGTACCTGGTTCCTCAAGCTCAGGCCGACTTCCGGCGGAAAGGAGGACTTTTACACCTGGAAGAAGGTCACTTCATCCGTCATTGGCATTATCACCGGTAACCCCGTAGTTGACAATTACGGTGTAATGGAGATCAAGAACTGGACCACTGGCGAGGTTTCCTACGTCGAATTCAAGCCCAGAGGTTGGACGAAGTCGAGTGCCTACCTGATTGGTGGCAAGATCCTCGACGCCAACGGCCAGGTCCGCGTCAGCTTGGGCGGTCGCTGGAACTCCAAGTTCTACGCCCGCTTGACACCTGGTTACGAGGCCACCATTGAAGAGAAGTCCGGCAACGAGACGGTTCACCAGGGTAGCATCAACGACCCGACCAAGGCCTTCCTCATCTGGCAGGCTAACCCGCGCCCGACTGGTATTCCGTTCAACCTGACTCCCTTCGTCGTCACCTTCAACCACCTTGACGACAACCTCAAGCCCTGGCTCGCCCCTACGGATTCACGCTTCCGCCCTGACCAGCGTGCTATGGAAGAGGGCGAGTACGACTTTGCGGCGACGGAGAAGAACAGACTCGAGGAGGCGCAGCGTACCCGCCGCAAGGCTCGCGAGAGCCAGGGCGAGGAGTTCAAGCCCGCATGGTTCACCAAGGCGCGGTGCGAGATTACCGGCGAGGAGTACTGGAATTTCAACGGCGAGTACTGGAACAGGCGCGCGAAGGCTGGTCCCAACGGCGATCCCAGTGCTTGGCAGGGTCTGGAGCCCATTTTCCAGGATGCTTAGTATGTTGTTAATGAGTTGGATGGGATGCTTGATCAGGTGTCTTTGAGTCCTGTGAAGAAGAAAAAGAAGGGACGTTGGGCGAGGTGGCGGTCTCGGTCTCTTAGTCGTGTGTTAGAGTAGAGACGGTGGTTTGATATAGTATACGTAAACGGAGGTTTGAGCGTGTGGTATTCTTGGAATGTTAACAGGAGGATGAGTTTGGGTGTTCCCTATAACTGGTGTCGTTACAGAGACGACTAATTCGCGTCTCACACTAAAAAGTTGTTGAAAACGAGGCTTGAGGTGGTAGACCGGGCACTTGGTGGTCTCAATTGCTCAAGAACATCATTATTTCATGACAGTAGCTCGTACAAAATATCTCCTTGCATTGCTCTCATGTTCGTTTTCCGTATTGTACCAGAATTTCTGAATTGACTCTTGAAGTTAAGTGCTATTTGTTTCTACCTCGAGTATATCTAGAAGGACTACAAATAACACAACCCATCAATCTTTTTCCATCACGGCTTCGCGAGTTTCACCCAGTGCTCACAACACTAGACAGTACATCACACTGTGCGGTGATTTCGCACTTAACCGCAACAGCAGACAGTGCCCGAAACAATTCGAACTGTACCAGTAAGGTTTCCAGGACGTGTGCACTGACCATATTATGGAATGTCGCCGTATCAACATTGACTTGTTCAGAACCTTGTCGAAGGACGACTTCTACAATTTCACATTAACAGAGCATACCGCATACAAGACCAGGTATCTCAGATTTTGAAGGTAATAGGTATGCCAGATAAATTTCGGTTCATCCCACCCGCAGCTTTTCATCCCGTACGCTGATTGAGCCACAACCATATCTCCCTGACCCTTCTCGTCCCTCATAATAAGGTACTCTGTCTCTAACCACAACCACAGCAACAACCGAGTGAGCTCAAACACCAAACTTCACAAAACAACCACAACAAACGAACGACAACCCGCTCTCGAAGATAAAAGCCATCAAGATATCAAAAATGGCCACCGACGTCGCTGTTGAAACCACCATGGTACGTACCTCTTCCCTCACCTCACCTCACTTCACCATCACCATCACCATCCCCATCCCTCACCCACCCATCCTCAACTAACCCTCACCCCTCCCACCCACCCCCAGGGCACATTCACCCTAGAACTCTACACTACCCACGCCCCCAAAACCTGCAAAAACTTCGCCACACTCGCCGACCGCGGCTACTACGATGCCACCCCCTTCCACCGAATAATCAAAGACTTTATGATCCAAGGCGGCGACCCTACGGGCACGGGGCGCGGCGGTTCCTCAATCTACGGCGAGAAGTTCGAAGACGAGATCCACCCCGGGTTGAAACACACCGGTGCCGGGGTGCTAAGCATGGCGAACGCGGGACCGAATACCAACGGGAGCCAGTTTTTCATCACGTTGGCGCCGACGCCTTGGTTGGATGGGAAGCATACGATTTTTGGACGCGTAAAAAAGGGGATGGGGGTTATAAGAAGGATGGGCATGGTGCCGACTGATAAGGAGGATCGGCCGGCGACGGAGGTGAAGATTGTGAAGGCGAGGGTGGTGAGGGAGGAGGATATGGAGGCTTGATCTTGATGGGGGAGTGAGTGAGGGAGTGAGGGAGTGAGGGAATGAGATAGTGAGGGACTGGGATGAAGGTGAGGATGAGGATGATGATGAGGATGAGGAAGTTGGAGTATGGGTCTTGAGAGCTCGTTGAACTGGTCAAAATGAGCTGCCGCATTGTTGCGCTGATTTACAATGGTTAGGATATACCAAAGGCCTTACCTCACAGTCAACTTCCTCGTCTTAGGCAATTTACATGCATTACACAGCTGTGAAGGAGAATTGAAATTTGTGACCGGTAACTTTGTTTTCACCGTGGTCTAAGCAACGCTCGCCGTCCTATCACGGTTGTAAGCTACCTATCTGATGCATCTTGGATCGGTATGCGACATCTCGTTTATCCTCTAAAGGCTCTGTCCGATTTCCAATCCTTGACCAATGTCTATTTTTGTAGCAAGAATGGGGTATAATGTATGAATGCGTGAATAGGTAACGCCAAACCACCTTTATTCCTTGTGGTTACCAAACAATCCACCGTTAGTCAGGCACCTCCCAGATCTAATGAGGCGGCGGAGACATTGTCCCCGTTGATCCTGTCTCGTGGTCCTTTTCCTTCTTCCCTAGTTTCTTCCCTGGAGCATTTAACTGCGGCTTTGTGCCTAGTCCAATCTTCAGCTTCTTAACAGGCGATGCGCCTTTCGCTGGTGTAGTCTTCTTGGGAACAACCTGAACGGTGGAGTTCTTTATGTCATCGTCATCCACGCTCTGCTCAACGCTCAGCATCGAACTGGTCTTTATCTTGTCCTTCTTGAGGGGTGGCGTTGACTTGGTCTTCAAAATGACCTTCTTTGGTAGAGCCGTCGGTTTGAGCTTCTTCTTCTTCGCACTGATAGGATCAGCTTCATCACCATCCTCATCAAATTCATCACCGTCTCGCTTCCTCGGACTAGTTGCCCGGCTCGTTGGTACGGGTGTGCCTTTTTGACTGGCTGGCGGAGTGTTGTCGTTGTTCTGACTTCCGCCGTTGCTCCCACCGTTACTAATCTTCTGAGCCGCTGCTCTACTCGCGTTCCGCCCACTGTTGCCAATGCAGGAGCCCATGTGATTATTGAGACGCGTCACCAGGATACAACGCTTGCACTTGGAGCAAGTAGCGCTGGGGAAGCTGAGCACATGAGGCGGGCGGTCCTTGGCACTTCCCTCCATAGCTGCCACCGCTGCAGGATCGTTGGGGTCCATCTTCTTCTCCATGTCCTTCTTTTTCTTTCCTCGTCCGGGGCCAGGCTGAACCCAGGTCTGTCCATAAATGTCGAAGCCTGGCTTCTCGATGTAAGGGTGCCTTTTGCAATATGTAACGTTCGGATCCGGCTTTTGTGCTCCCTTGCCGTCTGTAGGATGAAGCAGACGGGGCAGTTGACACCGTGGACACAAAATCTCTTTTGTAGTCTTTAGCGGATTGCCCTTCAACGTAACGTGCCCGTCCTTATACAGAGCAGCGTCGGTTTCCACAACAATCTCGGGCCGTGCGTCAGGGGTCGATAAATCCGAGTTCTCCATAGCGAGCTTCTCGACCTTGATGGCCGCCGTTCTCATCCGAGCGGTCTTTTCGTCTTGGTGTACCTTGAGGACTAGGTCGTGAAGGATATTGTAAAGCAAGTCGTCCACAACGGAGTATGCCTACAGGGAGAACAAGAAAGGGTCAGTACAAGTCTTTGGTTCGATCTTGGTCGATGCGGAAATGCTTACCAACTTGTCCACGCCCCCAACATCTTCAGGGGCAACGACAATACCAGCCTTGCCGGTCCTGTCCCCTTCTGACGACATCTTGACAATGACAGACGCCTTCCCCAGTTATGTCGGGACTGATCGACACCCCTGGAATAGCCGGTGGAAATTTGGCAACTGTCGTATGAGATGGGTCCCCGTGCGTCGTGTGGAAGTAGTGGATTTGTCGCGACTCTCTTCACCCTCCCAGGCTCGGGTGATGCTAGGCAAGCCGAGTCAAAGTTGAAGTTCGACTGGCGTAGCGGGTGGGAAATGCGGTTCGCCGGTAGTTTTTGGTGTTCAGGTGCTGATCGGAACGAGCCTTTGGTCCACGTGCAAAGAAGTGGCCAAGCATCCACGGATCGTTCAACTCGGCTGCAGCAAACCGAAACCGCCGACTGCACTAAGTGGTGCGTGTTCTCGAGAGCGTCGAGTGGTGATGGGGGCAGGAATGCTGGATACCGACTGGAGACCGGTGTTGTGTGCAATGTTCAATTGGCGCTAAGCTGCGATGTATTCGAAAACATCCAAGCATGCAATATGCCTTTTGGACGGTGTGGTATTTGAAGGTTGACGATGGTGAATTTTCTGCCTGAAGCTTGGTAGATGGGAAAAATGTCCATCCACGGTGATGTTCGGTAGGTCGCGGTTTTGTGGTAGTTGTGTATGCAGAAGTTGTAGTGGGCTTCAGGCGTGTAAGCACTGGCTGACAGTGGAGCACCTGCATCTGAGTTCCATCAGGCGACCACGAACCAGCCAAGCAAAGCAGCTTCCGTGCTCCCTTCCACCTCACCACGATCCGGGATTGGTGGTGTCTGCGTGCCTGCCGCGGACGCCCTGGTGTTGCCCGTGCTGTACCTGAATTTCATGTTATTCCGTGTTTACAACACATCGACACCACGACTAGACATTGCCGGTTAAACAAAATATTGGGGCTGTAAGTCAAATTTATATTCATTGATTCTTGTAAGTGAACGGGGTGAGTGTCACAATCCTGCCTACTAGAAATGTTCATAGAAGATTGTCATCAAAGCCGTCCAAGGTCGCCATGTGCCTCGGTTTCCGAACAACCACCACAGATAATCTCTTTGACGCCATACACAGAGGGCATCGTTGGAAGCTTCCACTTTGTAAAAGCAACCACGTGCAGTTTTCCATGAACGCGGAATGCACTCCGCCTCTCGATCCTCCCGTCGTGTGTGTTGCCATCACATGTGGGGCGAGACAAGGTGTCAAGAACGTCTGGTCTGGAACACATCCATCTTTGTCCTTTTTGTAGGTGTCGCTGCCGGGTGGGCCAGGGGCACAGTGGTGGTGTCCCTGAATGTCTTCTAAACTGCGTCTGTGACATATGCCGGTGGGCCAGACTTCACCACTGACACGACGGTTATTTACACTTGTCGTGACCACGGCAACATTGCTAATTTCCCTCCTTCTACCTTTCTTTCCGTCTTTTTTCAGTTCGCCTTCTCCCTTTCTTGCCCTCTTTAAAATCCGGCTTCCTCGGTTTCCACCACTTCCAGTATGTCGCCTAGTCAACAACCCTCGATACTGTCATTCTTCCAACCCCGGCAGCAGCAACAACAACCTCAACATGCCCCTCCCCCTCAAGACTGCGTGAACGGTGCAGCAACAACGGCAAGCGTGCTTCCGAACCACCCCGTAACACCACCACCACCACCTCCTCCCTCTTCTCTCACCTCGGCCCCACCGCCGCAACAAGTTCCAGCTCGTTCCGGTCTCGGGCCCGTCACGGCTACTCTCCCGGCCAACATCCCCGTCCTGCCATCCCCACCGTCGATCCCCTCTCAAGCCAGCATAGTCCCGGTGGCCGAACACCACATAGCCGCCCTGCGCCGCATCAATTCTCTCCTCCTCCAAGTCGCCTACCCGGACGCCTTCTACGCCAAGGTCCTCGAACCGCTTGCCTCAGGTCTCTTCTCGCGCGTCATCCTCTGGAGCGACGATTCCACTTCCGAGCCCAAAGTTATCGGCGGCGTCGTCTGTCGACTCGAGCCGAACCCTTTCTTAGACGCCAACGGGCAGCCGCAGGCTCCCCAAATACCTAACGCCCAACAACAAAACCAGTCCGGGCCAGCTCCCGCCGACTCTCCTTACCACGCCATCTACATCCAATCGCTCGCCCTCCTCTCCCCCTACCGATCCCTCGGTCTCGCCGCCGCCGCGATCGAACACATCATCGCCAGCGCCTCGATCCTGCCCGCCGCGGGCTCCACAATCGACGTGCGAACCATCTACGCCCACGTGTGGACCGAAAACGAGGAAGGGCTCCAGTGGTACGGACAGCGGGGGTTCCGGACCGAAGGCCGCGAGCCAGTGAGGGGGTATTACTTTAAGCTACGACCGGACACGGCCTGGATTGTGCGCAGGGAGGTTGGCGGACACGGCATTACAACCACACAAGCACAAGCACCGTTAGGGGCAGCGAACTATTCTCTACCGAAACGAAACCACCTCCTCCAACAACCCATCGGCACCGGAATGACCATGGCTTCCAGTGCCACAACCGCAACCACCCCGGCCACGGCCACAGGCGTCCTAGCAGCCGCTGTCAACCTACTACCCACATCACCACCAAAGTCCCCAGCAGGACCTCCCCCGAGCTCATCAACCCCCATCACCCGTTTCTCCTCCACAGCTTCCTTCCCCCCACCAGCAGGGGCACCAGGGGCGGCACCACCAACATCAACATCAACATCAACACCGGGCTTAGCCCCTCCCTCTTCGTCGACAAGACCACCCCTTAGCCGCCCCTCAACCGGCATGTCGTACCAAAACACGCGACCGGAAACCGAATGGAACGACTTGCCGCCGGAAATGGTTCAGCTTAACGTTCCCGGTAGTGGTTCCGGTGCCGGTGCCAGCGCGACGGCCTCGGGCGCTACTAGTGCGGTTAGCTCGAGGAGTAGTTCGGTGGCACCGACGAAGAAGAAGAAGGGGAGGGCGTATCCTAGTGCTGCTTTTGGGCAGTAGGGAGTCTTTTGTCGATTGGCCGAGTTATGTGATAATGTAATGGGATGGGATGGGATGAAGTGAGGTACATGATGTTATAGAGTTAATGATGTTCTTGGGAGCGGATGAAATAGATGAAAGTGGGTTGAAAGGGTTCTCAGCTCTCAAAACTCCGAATGGGGACGTAATCGGATTGATGAATTCCCCGGTCTGAATCGGACGCGAGACTACAAGATGAGCAAGAGTTGGGTTGGACCTTGGCTATATATCTTAAACCTACTAAGCCTTATACACGCATAGAAGACGTTTTGTCACATCCTTATAGAAACAATAGTAACTCAGTTAATGTCAAGTAAACCAGTCGACTATTACTATGAAACTCTTGTAGTATTGTGGGGATAAACAGGCCAGGATGTCGTTGCTGAATCTGGTACACCTCGCCAGAAGTGAGGTGACTTTTGATGTTGTCAGGGCTTAACTGCGACAGACATTGTTTCTTATAATAGAACATGGATAGAAAGACAAGAACACATCCACGCTTTGCTTCGTGATGAACATCCAGTCGGTTCAAAGACCCCGGACAAAAGAACTTGCAACTTGGTTTCCTGTGCTCCCAACATGGACCCATGAAGAAGACCGAGAAGAAACAACTGATGGTACAAAATTTACAACTTCGCTGGTTGATACTCTTTTTGCTATACAGTAGATAACAACATCTCCAAGTTCCAACCCGGTTACCATTTCATGATAGAGAAAATAGAATTTGAATGAAGCCCATCCCTGCCTTGGGGGTTTCCCTAATGCGATAAACCCTAACCCAGTGACGCCTGCCCCAACAATCGTACCAAAAGAAAAACATTGAAACATGATCTAATGTTGAACAGAAGAAAAGAAAAAACCTCATATCCCTTTTCAGGTTGCTCGTCCCATCGTCGTCATCCTTATACAGCAAACCAATGTTGCTATTCGCTTAACACGTTTTTCTGTCAACCCTCACTCCAAACTCCGTTTCCTGCGCCAAGCCGTGTTCACATAACAATGCACCTCTTTCCGCGACATGTCAGTGATGTCATGCCTGGCAATGGACAAGCTGCCTTGGTGGACTCCTATTCCCCGGCGGCGAGCTCGCTGTGCTCAGGCACGGCTGTCAAGTCGTTCTTCTTGGCGTTAAGACGCAGGTCGCTGATGAAGTCGGCTGTGGAAGTGCTCTTCTCCATGCCAGCGGCAACGAGAGCGATCAACGCGGCACCAACACCGGATCCATCCTTGGCAATACCAATGCGGATCCGCTTGGCACCCTCCTCACCAATGCCCTTGATGGCACGGAGGGCCTCGTAGATCATGTCACGGAAGTAGGGATAGTGCTCGACCAAGCTTCCGTCAACACCAATGTCGATGGGCTCGCCGTCCAGCTCGGGGTCGGTAAGCCTGCCGGTCTGTAGAACGATAGCGGCAATGGCAACAGCCGAAAGACGAGCAGCACGGCGACCGATAGCACCAGCAATGGCCTTGAAAGCCTGGGCATCCTCCAAAGAGGGGGCATAAACATGGAGGTTACACTCGAGCTCCTGGCGGAGAATCGACAACTCGGGGGTAGTGTCAGCGGCAGCGACAGACAGGACCGAGGTATCAATACCCCACTGCTTGTAGATAGGGGAGTGTTCGGCAATGTTGGTGGTTGACTTCCAGTCATTGGAGCTCGAGTTATCGTCCTTGAAGAAAGTAGCGTCTGTGTTCTTAAGCAGATCGATGACCGCCAATCGCAAGATCTCGCCGAGGTACATGCCGGAGACACGCTTCTCGTACATCTGCATACCGGGGTTGGGGGTGGCCTTGTCGAGCTGGACATCCCATGGTGTGTTAGGGAGGACGTTGAGCTGGTTGTCGAACCCACCCCACTCGGTGTTGATGACCATCTCTCCGGTAGAGTTGTCGTACTCGCCGGCCAAGGGCTTCTTGAGCTTGGAGAGCTTCTCGACGTAAGCTCCGTTGGTGCCAGTCCCGAAGATAGCACCGAGGATAGCACCGCTCTTGCCAGGGGAAGAGTAGGAACGAGCCATCAAAGTGCCAACAGTGTCGTTGACGAGAGCGGCAACCTTGACGGGGAGATGGAGCTTGTCAATCTCCGTTTGCAGGAGAGCACAAACGTCCTTTCCAACGGCATCTGGGATATCGAAGCCCTTGGTCCAGCGAATGAGTGTACCCTTATTAATACCCAATTGTTGGACGGGGAAACTGAATGTGAAGCCGAGACGGAAGACATTCTCGTCCTTGAAGCCCTCGGGGGAGCTGATGGTCATGCGTCTGCGGATATGTGCCTCGAAGTGATCGCCGTGATGTGTCCTGAGGAAGATTTCGATCTGCTTTGCCAAGAAAGCGAACAGCTCCTCAGCGGTCTTGGCAACCATGAGCTCTCTAGGGATGGCGACCTTGGTGTACGTCAGACGGAAGGTTGTGTCACCGTTGAGCTGGATCGAGCAAACGCGGAAGTTGGTGCCACCGAGGTCGACAGCCATGTAAAGACCCTACGATCGGAGGAAGTTAGCTATCGGTTGCAAGCACTTGTTGCCTAGGTATTGGCAGCAGTGTATAACCAACCTTTTCAGTGCCATTGGGGACGGCGGTGACATATGTGGGAATCTGGGCCAAGCTGGTGCCATCTTTCTCGAGACCTTCGGCTGCAATCCTCAAAGTGTCAGAGCTTGTTGCGGCATTTGTCTACGGCGATGGGACCACCTACCCATCTGACGAAGGAACTCTACGACACCCTTGTTGACATCTTCGTCCGAATAGTCGAACTGACCGACAACGGTCTTTGCCTGAGTCTCGAGGGCCATGGTGAGCGGGCTCGAGACTGGTGCGGTTGTGGGAAATGGGGGAAGAGTCTCGCACACTGCGGGTGGCAGTTGTGGTTGTTGAGCTTGTTGCGTAAGGGCCGGGGGAGAGAAGGTGGCCTTGGTTGTGGGAGTCAAAGTGGATTGTCGAGATAAGAAAGAAGAATAATGAAGTGCTGAGTCGGGGAGCAGAGCCCGGAGAATCTGGGGAGTTCAGGTTAATATATGCACTGGTAGTGGTGGACGATTTCCTGTACAATGCGAGTGCTTCTCCGTGGGGAATCCCCCGTGACGGTATGATGTTAGGTTCTTGGTGGGATGTCCGTGGAGGGGCATAATCGGTGGGGTACCAGGGGCATCAAATGCCCAGTGGAGGTCCAGTCCGATGGGTACCGCGCAGTGGTTCCAGCCAGGTAAATTTGAAGCAATCCGATGTTAGGTTTGTGGACGGACCTGCTTCGCTCGGCCGACTTGAACCCAACAAGCAGGTTAACCAACCTGCACTTCCTTGTCCTCGCTACGTAACTCCGAAGTACATAGCAAGTGCATGCCCACTACCCTGGGCCGGGCTGGTTCATTCCAAATTCCTAGCTGGTCCGCTGCTTGGTCCGAGTTTCCCGCTAGGTGCAGTCCAAGGCAAAATGCCGGTAAGGAGCATATTTGGAACGGTCCGACTGAAGGAAAGCGCTAGGTGTAGGAAAAAAGGTACTTACAAAAACGACTACCAAGAAAGCCACTGACGATGAGAGCACACGAATCAGGCTGGTGAGGACACCACGGCAACTCTTCGCTTGTGATTTGCTAACTGCACTAGGGCCGGTGGAACGAAAGCGAGTGAAGACGGTAGTTCTAGGCGATGGAGGGCTGCCTGGGCTGGAGGGAATGTCGGCACCGGCACCCGTCTGCGTCTTTCGGGCCTCTTTTTCTTTGGGGTCGCTTGCCTCTGTGCAACTGTTGCTTTCAACTCTGGACGGCCCGTGATGATAACGTGAGTCGTCAGCAGAGCCACGGGCATGGACACCAGCTTTGTGTGCTGCCGGGTCAGGCGCCGTGCTGGAGTTTAAAGAGCGCCGCCGCCTTGTTACACCGGGCATATCTAGCACAGCACCACTGCCTGTGAAGCTTGCGGGCGGCGTATCGTCGGCTTGCATAGGTAGAGGTACCTCTTGGATGCGTGAAATGATGGTCGTTGATGCGGGGCAGGTCAGCAGGGCGCCTTGTGTGATAGGCCGAGAGGATCTCTTGCGGGGTTATTTTGCGTCTTCAGGGCCGTGGACCTGGTTGAAACGGCCCGGATCTGGGTAGCACTGGTCCAATGAGGTCATGAAAGAAGACCCGTTTCTGGGGTTCGAAGATTCAAAGAACAACCTCTTCCTACAATCGATATTAATGTTCCTGGACAATCGGCACGATTGGGGATGCGAGGATGCAGTGATGCACCGCTACCTGAAAGTCCCGCGGCCAAAACATGAGGTTCTCACGAGCTCAGGCCTAGCCGAGCCGCAGAACCAGAACTTTAAAGTCAAGGGGTCAAGGATCACTTACACCGGAGAGGCTGCTGACGTCGTAGAGAAAGTAGGTAGATTTTGCTGCCCAGTTTGCATGTGCTGATGCCACTCTGCAGGTTCAGGGTAGGATCGATGTCATAGCACGAGTTGGGGTGTCCTGGGTGTGTAGCTGATTGTTGAAAGCCTCCAAGGCCTCGAATATTCCACGTTCCAATTGGGTCTTTGCGGTCTTTGATGAATTTTGGGCAACTGGGGTCCGGGGACTAAGGTTTGAACCGTCCCGTCGCTTGGCCGTTCTTTGACGGAAAAGTTTTGGTGATGCGTGTGATTTTTGCAGTATGCTCCCTGATATCGCCTTCCGGTAACGCCTTCCTAGGTCTTGGGTCGTTGTTCCCTTCTCCGGAGCCCAAACTTCGAAATTTCGCGATAGTACCGTACGTACTCGGGGGTCTCGAAACGAACTGGGGAGGTCGAGTGTTGGGACAAGGTACCAAGCGCTGACTTTGGGCACCGAGATAGACTTCACCGCAACCGTCTGCCACGGTCCAGATGACTGGCGGACGAGTTGAAAGAACCTGGAAGATAAAGAAGGAGCCGGGATGCTCACCGCTTCGGAGTCCAAACCTCTCGACCGGTCGGTGGTCCGTACCGTATTTGCACACACACTCCGTGTCCGGGCGGGTTCACAGAACAACAAAGGAGCGGAATGCCGACGATCCAAGCACGGCGGGTTCGGTGACACTGACAGCGAGCGGCGCGATGCCTTGATATAGATGTGGAGATTCTCTGGGTTTCGATGGCACCTACGGCCCACGGGGTACCTGGTCTTTTGCGCTCCTAGCGTGTGCTTCCCCGTGTGGACATGGCCTATACGGGCCGACAACAGTGGAGATGTGGGTGATGTGTGGTGCTCTCTCCCACGTCTCCAGGTCTCTCCCCCAAACAAACCATCCCCCAGAAATTGGGGAAGTTCGGTCAAATTGTGGTGACCCCGCGAACAAAAACTTGGGGAAAAACGTGAAAGTGGTGAATGAGCACACGATGGAACTCTGGAAAGCTTTGCTGAAAACCCGCTCTTGTGATGACTTCCTTCTTCTCCAACTGGCCAAGAAGGGAGAGAGGGGAACGACTCAGTTTCCACAAAGTCGCACACCGCGCGGGGCAAGGGTAGGACGACCAACCTGGTCGTCGTCAAATATTTCACCCCGACGCGTGGAACGCCGGATGGGGACCGACTCCACCGAGACTGGTTACACCGGTACACCCGACAATGTTGACGGCGCCGTCGGGCAGTGACGCGGCGGTTGCATTGGTTTCTTTCTCCGATAGCTCGCTCTCACGCCGGCGGTCCAGGCCTTTGCTCTCGGCAGTTATCACCGTGTCGAACTCGGTGCTGTGATGTAACGACGCGGCCATCAAACATAAAGGCGGTCGCAGCACGTTTGGACACCATGGGTGAGAGCCTAGAACTACCGGAGGGCTTTTGGGAACTGTCTTACGGCCTTCCTTTAACATGCAAACATCGACATGGTAATTGATAAGATAGGTTAGATTTTTTTTTCTTGCGGTGACACATGTGTTACCTCCCGTACATTAACTGTCTTCAATATCCCCAGCCGTATTTCCTCGTGGTATATCCTCCTCCAAGCATTACGCTGCCTTCTTTCCCCATTACCCAACACTTTTTGCTGAAACAGAACCTCCCATAGCTGAACATCTGCGTTTGCGACCTGCGATCAGAACCCTGAGCACCCAACGATATCCCATCAACTCTGTTTCCAAGTGTCTCCTCAGCTGGTTGTTCCTGATGAAACAGCCACTTTGGTTTAAGGCCGTGAGGACTTCAAACCCAGCTGAAATACAGTTTGCGTGAGGACTGAGCATTCCCGAGCGCCTCGTGTCCATCTCTTCACTTCTCGGGCTCGTGCCATACAGCCCATTTCTCTATTCAACCAGGGCAGCAAAGCTGTATGCCGACTCCGCAGAGTGTGACTTTTGTAAGTCATTTTTCATCCAGCACACTCGGCGATACTTGTCTTGCCCATCGTCCTGAAAGTCTTCCCATCCTGCCCCCGTACACCCGTTGGTCGTCGAGCATTCCTCGATGCACTCGTCAAAGGTCGTCGTCTTCGTGTTCGTCAAATCGTGGGCGCCTCCGTCGCCGGAATAATCGATTCCACACGTTTGGAGGAATTTCTTGCCGTTCTTCGCAAAATACGTCCTCTCGCCCACGTCTGGGCAGTTGGTTGGTCCTGCTGGGGTGGTTGAGGTTGCCGTTGCTGTAGCTGATGTCTTTGTGGGTGATGTACTTGATGAGGCAGTCCTGGAGGTTTTGTCAGTCCAGGTAACTCCGTGGTTGGGTAAATGAGGTAAGGTTTGCTTACGCTCCGGCAGTGTTGCTGTCGCTCTTGGTCCCAGCGCCAACTCCCACTCCCACGCCTATCGCAATCCCCATGAGAAGTAGACCTCCGCCGGCGAGTAAAATGAGGAAAAGGGTCCTTTTGATGCCGCAAATTCTCTCGTTTTTCTTATTCGGGGGCCCCATAGAACGTCCGGCCTGCGATGGCGGATAGCTCATCTGCGACCCGCCGTACATGTCCGGCGAGGCCCCATATTGGCCCGGTTGAAGATACGCTGGCGGGTAGAACAACTGTTCGCTTTCGGGCGGCGCCGGTGACGGCGAAGGAGAGTGGTGATACCCGTAGGGTACGGATGCCACGCCGACGGGCGACTTCTCGGCATAGGTCATTAAAGGCACTACTTCAGGTGCCGCCCCCGGAACCACTTCCGGTGCGTCGCATCTATGAACCACCTCGGGCGCATCTTCTCCGGACCGTTGATTGCCTGCCGGTCGGCCCACAACTTGAAGACCATCCATCCCGATGCCACTTGCGGTTTGTAATATGATTGTCGGACACGCTTCTGCAGGTAGTCGATCCGGCACAACCGTGTCTCCGAGATTCACGGTCAACAGCACGTAGACGAATTTATCGCATGAGGATGGTGTTGGTCAGATGCACGCTCTTGAGCGGACTCGCAGAGTCGACCCAGCAGCGTTCCTGGTGGATCTGGCACCGTTGCACATGTATGACGGGCGTTATCCACGTCGTCTGCGCGCACCAGGGGTAAAAAGCTGAATATATCAGGAGTCGCCCTGTAATCTTCCAGCGCCTTGTTTCATTGGGTATAGCCGGAGTCATAGTCAGCACCAACCCAATTCTGGCAGACAAGGGCCGATCCAGACCCGTATTTCGTCCACTGGCAGCGCTTGCGATAGATATCTCAAAAGTGAGAGAGTGGAAAGACTCGAGTCCACCGAGATATCGTTCTCGCCATGTTTGAGCCGTGGATTGTTCACCGTCGGTGATGCTGGACTGCGATTGCAGATTAAACGAGATCACGCCAGCCCGCACTTGCGGATGATAAAGAAACATGTTCTGGACTGGGGAGGGTTCAAAGGTTACCATGCACAATTGTACCTGGTCCTCTGTAGGGCGTATTCGGGTTCAAAGTCGTGAGACTCGAGGCAGCGGAGACGTTGAGCTGAAGTACGACGTCGAGATTGAGCTTCTTCAGGAAATGAGGCTCTTCAATGAGGCACGTTTAAGATGGGGCGGGACCGGCGCCGGCGCCGGCCGGAGACACGTGGATACCATGAACGGTAGTCGAACAGTTTTCCGGCCGGAGCAGCTCATGGAGCCGGCAACGTCTCCGATGTACGTAGTAATGGGGATTTTCGGGAGACCGTGACAGAGCCTCCCCACCGTGAAGAATGAAGGTGGTCGGGCCGTGTCAAGATCCGAAGTCTGCTCACGTTGGCTTCCTACGCACGGCATGGCGGGAGTGGCGCTTCCCCATCTTAGGTAAACTGACAGACACCCGCGGACCAACCCGACGGTGTAAGGTTCACATCCGTGCTGAGAGCCAACAGCCGAGACGGTGTTGACGATGTCCCTTTGTTCCTCGAACTAACCAACCAATGTCGTTGAACCGGCAGGTCGCTACTATGTACATTACAACCTGAAAGGGTTGCGGCTGAGCATTGGGCAGGAGTTTGACAGGCGACGAGAGGAAGTCGCAGCAGCTGTCGTGGAGGGTATTTCCAAGGCTCCTATTGGTGAGACTTTGAGGAGGAAGCAGACAGGGCGGGGCACAGCCACCGCAGTCTGGCTTGATACTTTGATACCACCGACAGCGAATAAATTGTTCGTGACTCGTTGGGAGCCGCTTCAACAGCAAAAGTCCTACGAGGACTCAAGTCCTACCCAGGCTTGACCACTTTCGGTCTAGGTCAGGCACGGCCAAGTGACGCCATTCACGCTTCAGGCGTGGGACTTGAGAGAAAGTGACCCAAAAAGTTGTCCTCTGACGTGACAGGCATCGCGACTTGATATCCAGCTCTGAATTGCCGATTGAACTTGAGTGTTGAATCAATGGCAATGGCCTGAGAATGAATTGACACAAAAGTACAGCTTGAGGGAATGAAAGGCTCATGAGCAAACAAAGAGAGACGGGATTTGTTGGATAAGGTGCACGAGGGGAAAGTGGCGTTCCATGTGTTACCTTTATCATTATCAATCTTCTAGGCGCGGTCTTGGCAGTGAGCAGCTCCCACGCGTCGTCTCCCACCAACAGCCTCGAGTCGCCCCACCCTGAAGACACTGTTTGGGAAAGTGCAATATTATAATACGGTCTCTGGAATCTGTGTCTGGTGTTGGTATGAGCGGGCAGCTACATCATCCTGACCTCTCAAGTAAGCTTTCCCCGCTGTCACGTACGGAGGTGTCAAATTCGGGATTCGTAGGTATAATGGGGCACTGTGAGAAGAGCAACGAGTACGAGTTCGTCCCATGTAATTATTTCATCGCAAACCCCAACTGGTATTGAGTTTCCGACTCTGGATTTCCGGGCATGGATGCTGTTTCAACTCGAGCTTCCACAGTACGGACAGCAACAGAGCAGATTGGGGAAATCCCAAGATCCCAGTGGCGGAGAGTTGAAGCTTCAGCCAGTTGGTTACTGCCAGCTCGAGATCTCGATATTTGTTGTAGCGGGAGCTCAGCCTTACACTCCCACCCAGAACCCTGGTTCATTGCTAGCGCCCCAGCTGCGGGTTTGTTTGGAGGAAGGATCCGACACCCCACCTGTCCGTCCACTCTTGTCGCTGCCACCCCCCGACTGCAGTCGCTGCTCCAGGCGGGCCAGCCCAACAGAGGAGTCCTTTGACTTTGTCACTTCCCTTCCTGACACAAGGACTCATATTCAATTGATCGTCGCCTCCACCTCCACTATTTTCGATTGCTGCTTTGTGCCTGTTAGTTGCAAAGGACTCTCTCACTTGGCCAGCTGCACCGAGTTTGTCCAAATCATATAAAATCGATTGGGTCATTCTTGCCTGAATATCTCTACATACGAAGTCACGAACACGGGAGTACGGATTACTCGCCCAGACGGAGTTGCAGGCAGGCTCAGACAAGACAACAACAAGCCAGCGCGGTTGCAGGCCCCTCTTCCACAAAGCCACTGCAACCTGACACCCTGCCTCTTGTGTCCTAATTTCTCACTCCCGCCCGCCTCTGCCTCTGCCTCTCGCAGTCGTTCTCGCTCCCTCCAGTCCTGCGTCCAGTCCTCCAGTCGCCATCTGCCCACTCATTCAGCTTTGCGGTCCTCGTTCCCGTCCCATTCTTTGCACTTTGCTGCTTGCGCCTCTTCCAGCTAAAGCCCGGCCGTCCATCCGTCCATCCATCCATCCATCCCACCTGCTTGCTTGCTTGCTTGCTTGCTTGCTTGCTTGCAGTCTTTCTCCTTCCCTCGTGTCCTTTCTCCTTCCTAATCCTAATATCCTCGGCGGTCCTCCCTTATGAGTTCTCTGAACTCTCGCCTGAAAGGCTTTGGTTTTAGCAAACGCAAATCGACCGCCAGCATACAGCCGAATCCTGATCAGCAGCAGTCGCCCACCCCGCCCCCCGGAGCAGCCCCTCAATTACCGCAGCTCTTCCAGTCCCGCCCGGGTCCCGCGCCCTCCGTTGCGTCCAACTCGTCTCAGCAGAGTCTTCCTCAAATGAATCATCCAGGTTCCGGACCACGGCCGCCCAGCTACTCCGCAAACTACCCGCCAGGCCCTCCCGGTCCCGTTGGCCGGACCAGCCCTTTGGCGAACCAAGGCCCGACCCGCACGCCGCCGTCGCAACTGGTCGGCGGTCCCCCGCCCATCAACACCGGGGCTCCCCCTGTCTCCGGCTATCCTCCGCCCGTCATGGGAGGTGGTCCTCCTCTGCAGGGAGGCCCGCCGGGATATGCTGGTGCTCAAGGATATCCTCCGCCGCCCCAGCCCACCGGTCCCGTCGCTCCCTATCGCAACACTGCTGCCGAGGTGGAGGGCAACAGCCGTAGCAAGGCTCAGCTCATCGTTGGTATCGACTTCGTAAGTCTTATGGACCCAGACTACCCTCCTCTCATGTCGGTTGCTAACCTAGTAATCATAGGGTACCACCTTCTCCGGTGTCGCTTTCGCTTTTGCTACCAACAATGAGGCCAAGGAGGACATCATCACAGAGTGGCCCGGCGCTGGCTCATACACAAAGCAAAAGGTTCGCTGACCTCCCATTGTTGTGGTGCCTTCAGCATGGACCATGACACTAACATATGCTCGCCTAGATTCCTACTGTTCTCTACTATGATCAATACCAGAAGGTTGTTGGATGGGGCCCCGATATCGCCGATGCCCTAGCACCGACTGGTTACCCAAAGCCTGGCGTGCAAAAGGTGGAGTGGTTCAAGCTCCAGCTGATGTTGTCGGGCAACACCTATATCGATCCTATTAACCTGCCGCCTCTTCCACCTGGAAAGTCGGAGATCGATGTTGCGGCCGACTATCTTTTCAAGCTCCGCCAGGCCATGCGCGCCGCGCTCCAGAAGACTCTGGGTGAAGTCTTCAACCGTGAAGAGAGGAACATCCGCTATTATCTTACGGTGCCTGCTATTTGGAACGACGCTGGAAAGGCCGCGACCCGAGCTGCCGCCATTCAGGCTGGCTTCCTCCGCGATGAGAACGACAACCGTCTAACGCTGGTCAGTGAGCCCGAAGCCGCAGCGCTTTTCTGCTCCAAGACAGGCCTTCTCAACCTCAAGGTACACGATGCGGTTCTCATTGTTGATTGTGGTGGTGGAACGGTGGATTTGATCGCATATGAAGTCGAGGACGAGAATCCGTTCACCGTGGCAGAATGCACTGCTGGCTCTGGTGACTCATGCGGTTCGACTGCTCTAAACCGCAACTTCAGTAACATTCTGCGGACAAAGATCAGGAAGATGAAGCTTCCTGATGGATCCAAGACTGCCGGTCGCGTCTACGCCAAGTGCATCATGGACTTCGAAAACCGAATCAAGGCCGACTTCCGGAATAACGGTCAGAAGTGGGCTGTCGACGTTGGTATCGAAGCTGAATTCCCTGAAGCAGGCATCGAAGAAGGTTATATGACGTTCACAAACGAGGAGATTCTGCAATGCTTCGAGCCAGTAGTCAACCGCATCTTGGAGCTTGTCAGAAACCAGATCATTGCCATTCAAGCACAGAATCGCACACTGCAGAACATCCTTGTTGTTGGGGGTTTCGGTGCGTCGGAATACCTCTTCCAACAGATCAAGCTCCACGTTCCCCCGCAATTCCAGTCCAAGGTTGTCCGCCCCATGGACTCGGTCGCCGCTATTGTCAAGGGTGCCGTCACGGCCGGTATCACTGAAAGAGTCATCACTCACCGTGTTGCTCGTCGCCACTACCTCATGGCTACTCTTCAACCTTTCAAGGAGGGTTACCATCCTGAGGCGTACCGTGTTCCCTCGCTCGATGGCAAGGATCGCTGCAAGTTCACGCGGCAGATCTTTGTTCAGAAGGGACAGAAGGTCAAGATTGGCGAGCCGGTCAAGGTTTCCTTCTTCCGTCAAGTGGCACCTGGTGCTACTCTCATGTACGAAGATATCTTGTATGCCTGCGACGATGATGTCTGCCCGGAGTATACCAAAGATCCAAGTGAGTCATGCGTGCTACTATTTGATCATGGATGAAAACTGACAGTGCCAAAATAGGGATCAAGGAAGTGGTTACGCTCACGTCGGATCTGTCGCGCAAGAACCTTGAGAAGGATTTCGAGCGTATGGACACACCACAGGGTACCTTCTACCGTGTCTATTTCGATATTTATCTCACTTTGGACGGTTCCGAATTCAGCGCTGAGCTGGTGTGCCAAGGAGAGGTCATGGGCCGCTGCCGCGCGAGGTTCAGATAAAAGGGGAGTCGTATCTGGGTAGATGGGTGACAGTTTTCTTTCTCTTAACTTTTTTCATGTCGGATCTTGAATGATACCTTTTAACGTAGCATGACAGCGGATTGTCAAAGCAGCAGGCGAGTTGACCACCATTTCAAACAGGGATGAGGTGTTGTTGAGAATAAGATAGGGACTGATTGGATGCCCCAAGTAAACACGAGTGAGTAGGGGGGCAATCTATACGAGTCGAAACAGATACTATCTAATTCATCCTTCAGAAAGTGTATATGTCTTCGTTTTTTCAACCCACGAAGCAGAGCTCTTCCTCTTGGGCCGGTCCACGGTCGAGACATCAGCACGTGAAAATGCCCTAATAGTGGAACCGGACAACGTCAAACCCCCACCTAACGGTCTGTGCCTGTCCCAGCCGCTTGGAAAATCCGGGGTTTGCGAGTGGCACTCTGGGGGAATATGAAAACTGGATGAGGTCCGTGCGATCCAGGCCCCAGTGGGAGGTTTGCCAAGGGTACTTCTAGCATGGCAGATGGCACATGGGATGGTACCGGTCACGATGAAGGAAGGGCCCAAGACTTTAACCGTTCCTGCCTCATTGTGTTTATCAACCTGGCAATGACTTCCTTCTCAACTTTCTCATTCGGCGTCTGTGATGAAGGAGGGTGGCCACCACACGGAACAACGGCGAATCATGAGTCGTTACTTCCTGACAGCTCCCTCAGCTCAGGTATCTCTTGCCTTGTTACAGTTCTTGGAAGCAGTTGGTGGGTATCAAGCTTCAGTCAACATGGACTGAAGTTGGAAACCTGGCGAGGACCTACATCGCCTTGTCTTTTCCTTTTAGTCGTCCATTTTCAACCTACCCAAGTTTATGATCACTACAAATCATACACCTCACAGCAATTCTCTAGATCTCCGAAATAGCTCTATACCCTTCATGCCTCGTCGGTCGTTTTGACGCTTCCCTTCTTTCATCCGGTGTGGTTTTTGGTTTTCTTCCGCAAGGGAAATTTTGGATACTCCTTTTGCTGCATCATCAAAGGCGCCTTACTAGCAAATACTCACTGAGACAGAGCGCATTATCATCCCGCCCACTTTACCTTCACTTCCTACTTGATCATCTCTTGGTGACCGCTCGAGAAGACAAACAACACCATGGTCATCGAAAAGTCACCTACCATCATTGCGCCTGGTCAGAAGGGTATCCGAAAACCGAAACCGGATATCGAAGGCCACTCGCCCTCCACCTACAAACAACATCACGGGGGCAGTCTTGGAAGCTACATGAGAGGTGCTCTGGGCTTCTTGCTTATCCTCCATGGACAAACCACCGGCGTGGCAGCCCAAAGCTTCAACTCAACTCGCCTCCCTACAACGTTCGTCTCAAAGGCTCCTATCGTGAGTCCCACTTCGAAGCCTCCTCCTGCTGTTGCTCCTACGTCGAAGCCTCCTCCCGCTGTCAGTCCTACATCGATCGCCTCCTCTGTACCTATACCCCCTAGCTCTACGATAAAGGGCACTACATCGATCGCCTCCTCTGTACCTATACCCCCTAGCTCTACGATAAAGGGCACTTCGCATCCGACCTCGACCCCGCCAAACCCGACCCCTATACCGATTGTCATCACCAACAGCTGCCCTGATACGATATGGCCCGGGATTGGTACGCAGAATGGTATCGGGCCTGTAGTTGGCGGCTTCGAGCTTGCTCCTGGCGAAACGAAGCCACTGTTTGTCAGTCCCGACTGGCAAGGCAGGGTATGGGGACGGACCAACTGCTCGTTCAACGACGAGGGAACGGGACCGAGCAACCTCAACGGCGTGAATGGGAACGGCGCAGCGTGCATGACAGGAGACTGCTTTGGTAGGCTTAACTGCGAGTTTACGGTAAGTTTCCCTGTTCACTATGCTTGGTTTACCGTCATCACTCAGCAAGTACTCACACAATTCACAACACAACAGGGCCAAGTCCCAGTAACCCTCGCCGAATTCAACTTGATCGGCGGAATAAACTCCGACCAGACCTTCTACGACATCTCTCTCGTCGACGGCTACAACCTGCCCCTCGGCATCATCTACATCCCCGCCGCCAACACAACCTGGATCCCTCCAAACCTAACCAACTGCGTCTGCATCGCCTCAGCCGGCTTTCTCGACCCGCCCTCTAGATCAGGGCTCTACTACACCAACAAGACCTTCCCCATCCCCTGGGAACCGGACCAAACCAACCCCACCGTCGGCGGCTGGTGTCCCTGGGACCTGCAAAAATACCCGCCCTCGAAGCCGGGCGACGGCATCTACCCGTACCCGGACGACTCGATCCAGCGCCCCGTCTTTGACCCGTGCCTGTCGGCCTGTGCGGCGACGGGGAACCCCGAGGATTGCTGCACGGGCGAGTACGACGATCCGAGCGTTTGTACCCCGAGTCTGTACAGCGAGAACGCGAAGACGGTGTGTCCGGACGCGTACAGCTATGCGTTTGATGATCAGACCAGCACGTTCATTATTCCTAATGGAGGCGGGTGGGAGGTGGTGTTTTGTCCGAGGGGCAGGAGCACGAACATTCTGAGGATCTTTGGGGAAGAGTTGAGGACGATAGCCAGTGGTGGGGGACTGACGAGGGAGATTTTGGAGAGGGTGCAGAATCGGACGTATATTGAGAGTGTTAATCCGAAGGGGTCGAGTGGTGCGGGGATGACTATCCGGCCAAGTCTGGGGGCGTTGGGGGTTGTACCCCTTCTTTATATGGCTGTCGTCCTCTTTTGATGAGAAGCTGGGCTTGTTTTGCTCACCTTGTTAAGCAGTTGGAGAGTGTCCTAGAGGTTGAAGATCCCTTTGTTGACATGACATTATACCCCTATTTTCTTCATGGCTTGGCGTTCGACACGCTCTTTTGTTTTTCTCTTTGGCTTTGGTTATCACCTGCTTGGACCTGTTGAGTTCTATACTGCATGCTGGATTGAAACTGAATGGTTTGGTAAGGATGGGAACTAGAGGTTGATAGATGTTGTTTTGTACTACCTACCTAGTCTTATACCCTAAAAGACTCTTTTATCACCAGTACTTCACGTTTTCCTCAGATGTGTTTTGCTGGAAAAGTAAACAACGCTTAAGAAGCAACAGACCCCTGTCTTCGGTCTATCGAGTTAGGTAAGATCACGTATATGTTGATTAACTATTGATCTGATATCTCCAACTTCCCTATCTGTATCAGAACCCTTGCTCTGCTCTAGACTCTAGTGATGTCGCTTGCTTTACATGCTGCAATAAGCACAAAGCATAAATCCAACCGTACGGCAACCAGATATCTATACCAACCCTATATATATGGGCTGTAAGAGACAACCCAAATACCAACAGCGCCGTTCGGTCCGCGGCTCCACGCAGCTGCTGTCTTGTATGATGGCCCGGTGTCTCTTCGGGTATATTGACATGGCTCAGAAAGAAGTCCCAACAAGTCCTCTTTCATCCCTTGAGCAAGACCTTGAACCCCTTCACTTCCTCGCCGCCCTCCTCCTCTCCCACTCAGCTCTTTCCTCATCATCACTCCCACTGAACTCAGCGTCATCCTCCTCCTCCTCCACATCCAAAACAGCCTGCTGGCCCTGCTGTGGCTTAACATCCTCCGCACTGACAAAATCGCCCGCGTTCAGCAGCGCGTACTCATGCTTCTGTATCAGCTCCCTCAGCTCCTTGTTCCGCGGATCCACCAGCTGCAACGCCGTCAGCCCGCCCTTATTCTTCACGCGCGGGTTCGACCCAGCCTCCAGCATCATGTCCACCAGCTCGTTGCCGAACTCGCGCTGCGCCTCGGGCTCGCTGTTGATCCACCGGATCGCGCTGTGCAGGGGGGTGTCGCCCTCGAGTCGGTTGACGGGGTCGCATTCGAAGCCTGGTTGGTCGAGGAGCATGTCGATGATCTCGTAGTTGCCCCGGAGGGCGGCTTCGTGGTAGAGGTGGTTGCCCATTACTGTGGTCGTGGTGTTGAGGAGGGAGGCGATCTCGTCGTCGGATTTGTCTGAGAGGATCTCGGAGAGGAGGTCGGTGTTGTTGCGCCGGCAGGCTTCGATGAGCTGCTCGGAGACGGAGGCGCCCTGTTTTTTGGGTGAGAAGGAAGGTTAGCTTTTTGGGTTGTCTGTAGTGTAGTAGTTCGCGCCGGAAGGGCGGAGGACAGGCGTGACGGGGAGAGGAGAGAGAGCGCTTGTGTGATACGAACCTCGTGTTCTTCGTCCTTTCCGGCCATGGTTACTACTGGTTGGTCACTTGTGGTTGTCTCGGAAACGGCGGGTGGTGATTCTTGGTTGCAAGAGGAAGCACAAGTACTGAAAGCGACGGCTGAAGACAGAGAGGGATGACGGCGAGAGTTGTCGAGAGTAAGATTGGCCTGGAATCGCTAATTACGAGCGGGAATCGTGGAAATGGGTCGGCGGGGAGAGTGGATGTACGGTATGGAGGTGGCCAGGCTGTCGAATCAGGTAATCGACCGGTTCGTGTAAAAGGATCCGGGATCGCGTAACGCTCGATAACGAATCCTCAAGGTGATGAGATGACGGCAACGTGTGGTTTGTGTGTATTTAGGAGATATCGCCAGTCGGTGGTTGTATGAAGCATTTACCTAACGGGCTGGTTAGGAGGTGGCAGTGGCAGTGTCCTTGGTGTCACAGAGTGGTCGGCTCCTGCGGGGATCAGGACGCTGGCATGGCATGCGCTGGGCGGGTACGTACCCCAGCACAGGCACAACAGGGCAGTTGGGTCCAGAGTGCCCGGGTCACCTCACACATGGGTCTGACCTCGGCCCCTAATCGGAGCGCCAAGACTGCGACAAGGGTATCGCCCTACACCGTAAGCAAAATCCAGCCGACTTCGGAAGCCTTAACAATTGATTTTGACTATTTCTAATTGTTGCAAATGAAAAGATTTTACTAGATTAGTTAGGAACTAGTTCGGAATTAATTATACTTTAGTACATTTAGAATGTACTATACAAATACTAGACTTTAATATAATAAATATAAACTAGTTAGGAATTAGTTAGGAACATATCTTTGCTTAGTTAATTTAATTAAATAAAATAATAATTTATACTTTATTAATCTTACTATATTTTATAGTTACTATAGTATAATTATATTAATATAATACTTTATATTAGAAAATAGATTAATAAATAACATTTATATAGAAAATTTAAATAAATTCTTTTTATTTATAAAAAAGTATATAATAAAAACCTATTTAATAGAAATAGTGAAAATACTATTAATAATTTACTAAATAAAGAATTTGTATTTTAAAGGACTATTATAATTATTTTTTATAATAAATTTAATAATTAATAAGTATATAATCCTAAATAGTGCCTTTATTATAAAGATATTAGTTTAACGCCTTTAGAACTAGTTCTGAACAAGTCTTCTTATAATTTAAATAATATTAGAAAATTAATAATTAACGTTACGTATATTAATTATATTAAATATTTCTTTGGATATATATATTAAAGTTTTATACTTTCCTTTTAATATAGGTTTTTAAATTGCTATTATGTAGAGAATATTTTACTTTTGATTATATTATGGAATTTATAATTAAAATTATAATTAAATTATATATAAAAGTATAGAAATATAAAAAAGGGAATTAAAATATAATACTTAAGGCTAACTAAACGAATATAATAAATGTAATATAGAATATTAAATAATCTTTATATTAACCATATTATATTAATATATATAAATTTATTTCAAAATGAATTTAATTTTTTAAGAAATTTATATATATATAGAATTAATTATTTCTATAATAAAGGATAGATAAATACTTATGACTAAATTTTAATTTACTATATATTTTAAACTATAATAGTAATACGCCCAAATAAATCATTATTCATATTATTGGTTTATTAGATTAATTTTAAATTAGTTATATATTAATTATAAAATTAGTAATTATCGATTGTTTTGTAAATTTAATATTATTTAATCACATATCACATACAATATCATATATAATATGATATACAATATTATATACAATATTATATACAATATTACGTATATAATTATATAATATAATTAGCGTAATATACTACCTTTAGCAGAATTTTTAAGTATAAAATCCCTCTTGGAATTTCATTTTTAAATTTAAACCTTCTCCTCTTTTCTTCCTATATTAACTTTATTTCGATTCCGGTACGTATAATATCTTTCTTAAATTCTTTTCAGATTTTTCCTAGAAATCTTTCAGATTTTTTTTACTTTAATTTAAAAATACTAATATTTAATAATACTAATCCAATACTAATTAAAGACCAATTAGAATTATAGCCCCTAACTATTCTAAATATAATACTTATTAATATTGTATTACTTTAAAAAAGCATTTAAAGAATTTCCTTCCTTTTACCTTTAATAATATAAATTTAATTCATTATTAATCTACAACTAATTTAAAACTAATTCTTAACCTATTTTAAAATAGTGAGGTCTAAATTGCTACTAACAAACTCTTTTACCATTTTAAAAAGCCCGGTAGCACTATATACACCGACGTTGTAAATTATATTTATTTATAATTTATTAATTACTAATCCCTAATTAATATTATACTAATTTCTTTTTTTTCCTTTTTTTTAATATAAGTAGAACTTAATTTCCAATTTACGCAAGTATATAACAAAGTATAAACTACTTAATAAAACCAAAATTATTATTAAAAGTAATAGCGTTAGTAGCCCCTCTTTAAAAGAGAATTAGGAATTTATTAATAAATAATTAATTATAAACTAATCCCTAACTTATTCGAAATTAATTTAAAATAGACTACTACATTCATTTAATAAAATTTATTGATAATAAGAACGACGAATCCGAATTAATTCGGGCGCTAATTTAACCCTAGCCCCTCCTTCCTACCAGAAGAAAGGAAAGGCTTTAGCGAAGAAGCGTATTATAAATAAAAATAACAAAAGTAGCAATAAAAACAATAAAGATAATAAAATAGTTCATTCTCTAAAGAAGAAAGTAAAAACTTCTTCTACCCATTAATTAATTTAGAATAAAAATAGTATAGTAAATAATCTAAATTTGTTTAAAACTAATTACAAATTAATATAGAATTTAATTTAGATTTAACTTTCGTACTATTAAGTAAGGAAGGCCTTTATTAAAAACGTCCTTAATAAATTTATAATTAAGGATATAAAGGTTTAGAAGTATCTGGGTTGTACTAAATTTAGTATTTTATATAAGATTTTTAACCTATTTTAAATTCATTTAAAATTAATATAGAACCAATTTAGGCCCTAGAATTAAGCGTCCTCTTAAAGACGAAGAAAAGGAATACAAGATATAAAAACATTTCCCTTTTAAGCCGGAGGTTAAAGATAACTTTAGTACTCGTTTAATAATGAACGTTACTAAAAAATAAATTATTAATACTTCCTTAAAATTAAAATTAATTACAAATTTATTTAAATGTAATCCTAAATCAATTATTATAATTTAATATTTAATTATAACCGGTTAAATCCTTTAATATATTAATTCTATATTATATTTGTAGTTATTAGTAAATTTCATATTCTACTATATAATACTAATGAATTTTTAAATATAAATTTAATAATATAGTAATATTTAATTGGAAAGATTAATTCGGAACCCGTTAAGGACTAAGAAAGGACTAATTTAAGACTAATTCTATTAAATATTATTTATAAAATTTTATGAAATATATAATTAATTATAATTATTCTTTAAAATAAAGTAAAAAAGTATATAATTATATAATTTGGTATAAAAAGGTTTAAGTTTTTAAATTTTTTATAAATTATATTCTTTAATTTTAATAAATTAAAGAAATTCAATTTATATAACCCTACCTATTATTTAAAGAATACTAATATCTATTATTATATTATATATTATATTGAAATAAATTATATTATATTTATTATTATTATTAATATTATTATTAAATTTTATTAATTTAATCATATTAATTATAATCTAATTCTAATTTAAATTCTATTATAATATATTAATTTACATAATTTCATTTACATCCTATAAACTACCCTAATTATATATATTCTTATTATTTCCTTTATATAATAAAAACAAATTATATTTTATATTTAATAATACCCTCGCTATATAAAAATTAATAAAGAAGAGAAAATTTAATTTTTAAATTATTATTTTAAATTTAATAATAAAAATATTTATATATATATATATATATATATCCAATAGTATTTAAATTCTATAAATAATATATTATTAGTCAAAAATCCGTCAAGAATTATTTTAAAATTTATTTTATACTAATACTAGAAAAGGATATTAAAATTATTGAGAGTTACCTCTCTATATAATCCTATATTAGTAAAAAATCAAACTTAATTAAAAAGGTGAAATATAAATAAGTTTTAAGAAAGTAAATATTTATAGTAAATTCTACCTCTTTTTAATTAAATAAAAATCCCTTCCTACTAAATAATTCGGGAGTAATAATACTAATTCGCAACCGTTTCCGAACAAACTTTACTTCTCTTTAATTAAATAATTCGGGGGTAATAATACTAATTCGTAACTATTTCCAAATAAACTCTACCTCTCTTCAATTAAATAATTCGGGGGTAATAATATTAATTTATAATAAATTCCGAATACGTTCTACCTTTCTCTAATTAAATAAAGATTCCTCCCCTTAATTAAATAGCTCGGGGGTAACAATATTAGTTCGTAACTATTTCCGAATAAACTTTACCTCCCTTTAATTAAATAGTTCGGGGGTAATAATATTAATTTATAATAAATTCTAAATAGGTTTTACTTTTCCTTAATTAAATAGAGGTTTTTCCTTTTAATTGAATAATTTAAGGGTAATAATATTAATTTATAATAGATTCCGAATTAATATATCCTCCCCTTAATTAAATAATTCGGGGGTAATAGTATTAATTTATAACCGATTCCGAATTAATACTTCCTCTACAAAAATAAGTAACTAATTATATATTTCTCTAAGGAAAAATAAACTGTTAGAAATATTATCGTTGATACTTTTTACTATTTTGTTATAATTAAAGGGATATCCGGACCTTAAATTATAATTAATATAGAAGTAATTAGAAATTAATTCTAAACGGAATTATAATTACCTTTTATTAATTTATAAAAGTAATAAAGAGGATAAAACTCTATTATCCTTTACTTCTACATATTCCTTTACTCTTTACACTTTTAAAACTCTTACTTCTACTAATCATTTTAAGACTTTTTACCACTTTTATTATTATTTTGTAAATAGTAATTTCTTTATTTCCTTCTTAATAATTATAATTTTGCCAATAAGAAAATTATTATAGTATTTAATAAACTAAAAATAAAAGGTTATAAGGAATTAGTTCCAAACTTATTTATAATTAATTATAATTTAATTACACACTTTTAATTTCTTAGCGAACTTCGATATCTAATTTAAACCCCTTCCTTATAACACTATTTTTATTAACGCTATTTTAGGAAGCAATTTTATAGAATTTATTTCTTTTATCGCAATACCGCCTAATATACTTCAAAAGAGTACTTCAGTTATAAAATTATTATTAAACCAATTCGTAATTAATTATAAACTCGTTCGGGAATATTAAATATAATTATTTACTATATTAATATATAAATCTTCACCAATTCGAATTCGGTAATATACTTAACCTAAATAAATAATCAACTTTCCGTCCTAAAAATCTTATATTAGAATTAGTTCCGAATTTATTATAAATTAAATATAAGTTATTATTTACTTCATTTTAATTAAATAGTAAAAGCCCTTTTAATCTTTTATTATTATAATGTTTAAAAGTATTTAACAATTAATATATTAGCGCTATAATACATTAGAGGTAAACGAATTATGAATAAATTCTATATTTATTTTAGGTAAAAGTAGAAGAGGATTAAAGATAGAAAAAGAAAATAAATATTAAAATAAAAATTAATTTTAATCAATTTAGGAATTTATTCGAAATTTATACCTTTCTTTAATTATTTCTCTTATTTACTAATTAAAATACTCGTCGTCGTTTAAAATTAATTTATTAACAATTATACTTATTAATTATTATAACTAATAATTATATTTAAAACGTAAATTGATACGGGATAAATTCGGTATTAATTCGGCATCGATTATAAACTTTTAGTCCTATTATAGTCTAAATAATAATATTAATTACAATTAGTTGGCCATTTATACATTGTATTAAATTAATTTAAAATCGGTATTAGTTGCGAGATTTCTAATAAATAATTAAAATAATATAATGTATTTAGTTTTGAATTGATTCTAAATTAAATATTTAATCCGATTAGTTATTTATTATAGTATATAATTAGGTTAGTTTTAATTGGGTTATAAATATAGTAAATAGTTAAAATAATATAATAATTTAAATTTAATATTAATAACAAGTAATATATATATACGGAATGGATTTTGAATTAGTCTTTAAATACTTTATTAATAAAGACGTAAACTAATTCTAGATAAGTTCGTAATTAATTTTAATTAATAATAATAAATTAGTAGCGAATTAACTCTTAAACAATTTCTTTTATATAAAATAAATTTAATAAATATATTAATCTTTATTAATTTAATTCCTATATAATTTTAAATTGTAATAATAGCTTAAGAATTATTTAATTCCGAAATAATTTCTTTATATTACATCTAATTAAATATAATTTTAAATTTCAATATTAATTAATAAGTAGTTCTTAAAAAAGCTTTTAGATAAAATTTTTGTAAAATTTCAATAGGTAGACTCATTCTGAATTAGTTCGCATTTAATTTCAAACTAATTTTTCAAAATTAATACTAATATAAAATAGGCGCTTATTTATTATTTTTAATAATCTAAAAATAAACGAATATAAATTAATAACTTTTATAACTATTATTTACGAACTTATTTATAATTAATTCTAAACTAGTCCTATATAAACGATACTAATTTTAAATAGGTAATTACTATAATTTCCCTAACATTAATTATTATTAAACAAGTATAATATAAATTTATATTTCTATATACGTTATAGTACTCCGATTAAGGGCTGAGGTCTATCTTGGCGCGTCTTGGCGCCCTCTTAGCGCTCCGATTGAGGGCCGAGGTCAAGGGCATGTGTGAGGTGAGCTAGTAACTCGTTGGGTCCAGGCACCACCTGCACCGACTAGACAGGTGGGGCAGTTGGTGATGCAAATCTGACCAATGAAAATTCGAGCGCTACATTTAAGGTTTATGGAAACTGTAACACTTTTTTCAGGCCTTCTCCTCGCCGTTGACTGTTTACACTGAGGATTTATATCACGACTATAACAACTAGAAAGTGGTAGAAACTCACGGGTTTTTGCTGGTTATTATCTGAAAGTGATCAAGTTCAACGACGCCGCCACTTCTCATCAGAATCGTCAACAAACATTTTGGCAAAACTCTCGACGACTCATCTCACTCGCTATCCATAACGGACGATTACACCCAACAAAAGTCGGTCCTTTCATCAATAAGCAAACATGCCTATCGTTTGTAAGTGTAAATCCACACGCAAAGACTAGGACACCAGAACTAACGCCCACCACAGTCTGCCCATTCTGCGCCAACCTCCTCATCCTCTCCCGAGCGGACACGGGTGGCAACAGGCTCGAGTGCAGAACCTGCCCTTACGAACACCCCATCGACAAGCCCATCTACTCCCGCAAGAACTTCCCGCGCAAGGAGAAGGAAGACGTGTTTGGTGGTCCAGGCGCATGGGACAATGCACAAAAGGGCAAGGTCCAGTGTGACAGCGGAACTTGCAATGGAAACGAGGCGGCCTTCTTCCAGGTCCAGATTCGCAGTGCTGATGAGCCGATGACGACGTTCTACAAGGTAAGACTGGAACTACGGATATGTGGGAAGGAGTAAGAAAAGCTAACATGATATTGTAGTGTATGACTTGCGGGCACCGGTGGAGAGACAATAACTAGAATAAGACAGGTTCATCACAGCTCTGGTCGGATCATCAATACATGGTATTGGGGGCATTGCTTGGCGTTGGGGCATTTTTGTTTTTGTGTTATTGCTTGTGAGGTATCCTTCATCAGAATCAACTTGGTCTGCCAAAGGTTACTTCCTACTCGTTTCCGTCCATGGTATCATTCTAGCCGCACAAGTTATGCCGTGCTTGGAAAACTCTCTCGGTGCCAGTCGATCCCGGCCTTCATGCCCTCTACCCTGAGACGCTCGACCAAGTCTGGGCTGATGATGTCCTGCCTGAACTTCTCCTGCTGCAGCAACTGCAGGTTCTTGAAGGTAGGCCCAGGGTAGGTGATATACTTGAGGTAAGGTGGGCGGCTCCAGTACTGGAGATAGTCGAGATAGGCGATAAAGGCAGGATTGCTGAGTAGCTTCCTGGAAGCGAGATGATTCAGATACAGCGGGTTGCCAAGTGCTTGAACAAACTAAGTATTATGTTAACATGGTGTACGTAGGATCAGGGAGTTCACGAAGCATACCTCCAGTTCAAGTTCGAAACGTGTGTATCCTCCATACTTGGGCTCCTCATCTGCCCCTGACCCCGGAGGCGCAGGTGGCTCCCTTGCTGAACTGTTGACTGACATGGGATCGGACGCCATAATATGAAAAATTGGTGTCTGGTACTGCCAGGCTGAAAATGAGGTGAACAAGGATGTGCCTCTAGATACTCGCGCGCCTCGTCGTTAACTGAATGTGAAGGGTAGTACAAGTAGATGTAAGCAGTAGATGCGTACGGTACCCGATGTGTTGATGGTCTTTGTGTTGAATGAGAGTGAGTGAAGGGAAGCGAGACTCTATTGTTGCACTAACAATTTCTAGAGAGCCGCCCGGATGTGACGAAATAGCGGGGCAAACAAACGGAGATGGCTCTTTCCCTGCACGAAAATTAGCGGGTAACCGCTATAAATACCCATTTCAGCCCTGCAACTTGTGGCTGCAGGGACAATCAACAACCCACCTGGACAACAACAACAACAACAACAACAACAACAACAACAAACTGTGGGACCCCGTGAGGCCGCTTCCGTCATTTCATCTGCGATTGGACACCTCAACACCAAGGGAACCCAACATCTCACGTCGAAGAAGACGTTGTCTCTTCTTTCTCGAGGCTACAACAACAGCCAAAGCTCGGTGTCAGTACTTTCTACACTGCAAGAGATTACGACAAATAGAGGCGCATGATTATCGCGAGTCGACTTGGATATCACCATGGCTTCTCCTGAAGCTCCCGCCGTCAACGCGACGGGCGCTACCTCAACTCCGGTTCCAGATGCTACACCATATGCTTTTCACTGGGAGATGCTCCTTAGGCCAGAAGTTCTTTTGTTCGATGCCCAGATTATCTTCGGCGCCTTGACCGTAATATGGCTTGGTGCTCATGGTTCCCTCCGCCGACCTCCCTCCGCTGCCCCAGCAGAGTCCGAAGACAAGGACAAGAAGAAGAAGTCAAAGGAAGACGAGCAGTTTACCGAAGGATTGACTGCCTCTGATGCCATCATGTTTCCCATTCTGGCCGGCGCTGTTCTCATTGGGCTCTACTATCTGTTAGAGTGGCTCAAGGATCCCAATCTGTTGAACAAGATACTTCGAGGTTACATGTCCGTCGCTGGCATCGCCGGCCTCGGCAAGCTGTCCGGGGACGCCTTGGAGATTCTTACCAGCTTTATTTTCCCAAGTGTATGGTCAGATCGCAGCAACAGACTCTACTACGTCGATCCGGAACGCCGCTCTCAGGTACTGGTTGACCCAACGACGAACCAGGCCATGATCACCGACAAGAAGTCGCCTTTCCCCGGTGTCTTTTCCAGGGTACCACTGCCTACCGGAATCAACAGACTTGCCTGGGAGATCCGGCACCTGTTTACGGAAAAGTGGACAGTCCGTCTTGCGGCTCATGGCGTCGGCTCCTTCAAGTCGCAGATCAAGTTCAACCATCTACTTGGATTCTTGGTCTCGATCGCAATAACTACTGCCTATCACCTTGTTGAATGGCATGTCCTTTCCAACATTCTTGGAGCTGCCATGTGCTACGCTGCTTTCGGCATGCTCTCCCCCACGTCTTTCGGTATAGGTACAGCTGTTCTTTGGGGCCTCTTCTTCTATGACATCGTCATGGTGTTCTACACGTATGTTTCCACCTATCCTTCAGCAAAGACAGTCAACCAGATACTAACCCGCTTTCTACAGTCCATTCATGATCACTGTTGCTAAAAAGGTTGACGCCCCAATCAAGCTCGTCTTCAAGAGTTCTTCCGGCTTCAGCATGCTCGGACTTGGGGACATTGTCGTGCCTGGCTTGCTCATGGCGCTCGCCCTTCGCTTCGACTTGTACATGTTTTACAAGAGGCAAATCCAATATCAGCCTATTGATGCATCTTCGGAGCAGGCCTCATCCACTGATCAAGCAGCTACTGCCATGACCGAGACGCAATTCCGACGAACCAAAGCACCGTTCGTGGTATCCGAAGGCCAATGGGGCAACCGCTTCTGGACCACCAAGCTGGGCAACCTGATGCCAAACCCAGCATGTGGCGCGGTCAGAGCCGCAACCGCCTTTCCCAAGCCTTACTTTTACGCTTCGGTAGCGGGTTATGCCTTGGGCATGGTTTTCACCTTGACAATGCTTCAGGTGTTCAACCACGGACAGCCCGCGTTGTTGTACCTGGTCCCTTGCGTTACCGGGTCCGTCTGGCTGACCGGTCTGGTTCGTAGGGAGCTTAAGGATGTGTGGGGTTATACAGAGGATGGGAGCTTGGACACAAAGGACGTTGTTGTTACCTTGGATACCAATGGTGATGAGGTCAGGAAGCCAGCCGCAGACAAGGATGAAAAGGAGTCTAAGGATGGCGTTAAGAGCGAGAAGGAGACCGAGAAGAAGGAAGAAGAGACATCTGGCGAGTACGATGTCGTGCTATTCTCCATCAAGGCTCCCAGACCTAAGCCTCCGAAGACAGATTAGTTTTTTTAGTTTTCGAGGTACTGTGTATATAGGACTTCAGGACGCATTGGATGTTACGTGGTACGTAGAGCGTACGGGGTTTGAATCGAAGAATAGATAAAAGGTAGAACTTGCGTACCACTTAGCGTCATCATTGATAAAGCGTTTACATTCCTCCTCAGAGCAGCTATCAAGATCATAGTTGGACTCATTTGGAACATGAACATTGACAGCAGCAAGAAAAAGAAATGAAAAAAGAAGGGTCATACGAGCGCTCGAACCCACGACCGTCACCCCCTCCTCTCCCCATCCATTCCGCCATCTCCGAAGAGGGTACAAAAATATACTTTCAAAAAAAAAAACACCAACAACCGCTCAATCAAGCAGCACACATCGGTTAACCGTCTCAACAACACCCTAACATTTTTATTCTTTGTAGCTTGTGATTACCTTCTTCTGTCCCTGCAAATCCCAACAGATCCTTACTTGTAAAAAAGTGGACGCGGTCTAACGATCTGGAACGCTCTTTGGGTTACTTGAATGTACATCATCGTTCCCGAACCGACAAGTATCTTTTTCGGGGGTCGGGAGGTTTGAGGTGTTGCGACGGGACGGTAGACCGTTGCGCTAGGTATCCGACCGAGTGGTTGTTGGTGGTAGTGGGTGCCGATTAGGAAGCTCATATTGGATGGGATGGGATGAAAGGTTGGTGTTTGCTGGTTAGTACCCCGTCAGTCAGTGCTGCAACTGGGAAAGGATCGTTTGGATGTTGGGTGTTTCTGGAGTTTCTGTTGTGAGACACGGGACTTGATGGCATACTGGGTAGTTGTATATTCCTGTTGTAAACTGGGTTTCATCCGTCCTCACAACTGTCTGTTACATATCACTTATGTAGATCACATCACGTATCTCACTTGCTGTTCTCTCCTTAACCTGATCGACACCATACTACAAGATCTTGTACCTCCCTATATAACGAACTGGCGGTGTTCGAACACCCACTCTCCGGCAAGAACATCAGCAGCATCTACATACGACCATAGGCACTTGGAAAACTCGGGATCCCGTCTGATCTCCCATCGATAAGCCAGTAACCGCCAGGCTAGTAGTCGGATCGGTGACGACCGGCGAATAACCTGGTGTTGTATGTCTTTTTGCTGCAAGGTCCTTCTATGTTTGATGTTTTGCCTCTTGCTCCTTCCATTGGGGTGAAGTGTGGTTCTGATGAGACTGGAAAGAACGGGCCGACGGGCACCTACCTTAAAACAAGACAACCGTTCATGCGGATAAGTTCAGAAACTTGGTTGTTCTTGCGCCCGCTGTATTGAGTGTCTAAGTTGATGATGGAAAGTAAATAAAAATCCGCTATGCCGCAAAGGAAACAATAACGCCGTCTAAAACCATCTTCCCCTAAACCGCCCGAGGTTTTCAAAGTGGTATCAAAAACGACCCATCCTCCTGCATATACTCCTTCACACCGTACCGATCCGATTGAAGCCTGTTCCATCTCAGTGTCAGCAGGAACTTTGCCCCCATAAATCGTGCGAGCAACGGAAGGACAAGCTCAGGAGTGACTTACGCCCACTCAGTATACCCCGTAGTCATGATCGTACAACTCTCAATGAACCTCTCCACATCGTTGCGGACTTTTGAGTCCTCCTTCATGATCTTGAACAAGAGGTCTCCGGCCGCGCTCTCGAACCGCTCGCGAGACCTTTCGAGTTCTTGGAGGACTTCTGAGACGACGGTGTTCAGGTCTTGACCTGTTTCGTTCATTGTGATGGGGATGAGGCTGTAGAGGCTTGAGTTCTTTGTGGATGTTAGTCTTGCAGAACTGAAGAAGGTGACGGACGAGGGGGAAACTTGGAACTTACGATTTCTTTCTTGAGAGATATCAAATCATTTACCCTGCCAGCTCTTGTCAGTTTCTGTCTCTCTGTGCTTTAAGGAAAAAGAAGTACTCAATAATCACCAAGAAACACTCCGACACAACTCCGCCCAAATAGTCCTCATCTCCTCCAAATCATGAATCTCCTGAGGGATCTCGACGTCGATCATAAACCTGTCCCACAATTCCTTTCGTCAGCACCACCAGAATTCCACTTTCCTTGCATCTCATGTTAACGAAAAAGAAGAATAACTCACTCAGCAAGCGCAAAATACGTCCCCCCACTCGAACTCCCCAGTCTATTCCCCGTATACTCCTCCACGCTCGGCAACAACGTCATCTCCCCCTTTCGACCAGTATACCTCTCCTCCACCGCACAAGCCCCAATATACAGCTCCATCTCACCCATGAACCTCTTGAGCTGTTGTTCCGACCAACTTTCTTTTACGGCTCTCGCAGGTTCCGCAAAAAGCTGCGATGGCTTGGTAGGTGGTGGGACTATTTGGTGCCGTTTAGATGGGTGGAAAAAAGAAAAACCGAGAAGGTGGCGGACGTATTCGAGCTCGCGGTAGGCGAGCGTTTGCGTGTTGCTGGATTCCATCTCGTCGTCCCAGAGACAGGACCAGAGGGCGTAGTGGGTTATGGTGCGGAGGCGGGGGAGGGGGGAGGTTGGGAATGTTCTGTTGTTGTTGACCTTTGTTAGTTATTATTGCTTTTTCTAGAAAAATGGGGAGTGAAGAAGGGAGGTAGGTAGGTAGGTAGGTAGAGGTAAAAGAAAACTCACAAGCAAACAAAACCTGGGAAATCGCTCTTCCTAATCTTCGCCCTAACTTTGGCGTCCGGAAACAGCCTCGCCATCTCCTCTTCGAACCAAAGCGTCAGCTCGTCAAGTAGAGGGTTAACGGCCTTGGTCCAACCGGGAAAGAGATTCCGCATGTTGGGCAGACGGAGGGTATGCCCTTTGAGTTTGGAGGTGAGGTCGTCCATGTTATTGACGTTTGCTGGTGGTGGGAGGATTGCGCTGGGCATTTCTGATTCTTTCTTTTCTAATAACGACGATGATGATGGTGATAATGAGGATTGGTCAAGTAAATCCAGGTTGTTGTTATACTCTCAGAAAAAAAACCTTGACGATGGAGATGATTAGGAATGCGGGATCGAGGTCGATATATCTTTATTTTTATCCATGTCAGATATAGCTCCCTCTTTCAAGCCTCCCTCCCCTTCCGGGCCTGGCCTCCCCAGAATTATCCACGATCCAACCGCTCCCATCATCATTCATCCACTCCTCCAGCTGTCCCTCCTTTCCCCAAGCGAGGATCTCCTACCGCTGCCGCATGATGGGCCCGTTCACCTACGTAAACCCCTGGTCTAGCTCGTCGAGGAAGAGATCGGTTTGCCCGACGTCTTGGATCGCGGGCGAGTGCAAGTTCTGGTACGAGCGCACGGCGAACATCCGGTCCTTATCGGGCTCCATATCTGAGTCAGACTCTTCAGAATACGAAGAGACGGAGTTGGTGCCGCGGATGAGACTGAGGCAGATGCGCGCGTTGCGCTTGCCCGATTGCTTTTCTGGGTTGGTCGAATCCACACCAAAAACCACTTCATGTCCCCGTCAGCCACAGAAGATAGGCGAAATGATTATCTTTCGACATTCGACATTGTGCATCCAGTCCGGTATCGTCGAACGGACAAGAGTACGAGAGAGAGAGAGGGAGTGAGACCGGCCGGCCTCTCCGAACCGAACGAACTATTGTTCTAGTGTAGTGGCCATGTTGCTGACGTGAGAGTAGTATCCCAGCTTTAGACTTTTGACTGAGCTGAGTCTTGCATATAGATACTATACGACCCACAAGCTGAAACTCTAATCTTGGGAAACCACGAGGTCATGGAGATTTTTCCTTGTTCGCTGTCTGGCTGTCCGCGATACCCCAGCGGTGTAGTGGATGGTTTTCACATGTTTGGTATTGGCCAGCACCTTATCGTCGACCTTCGTGGACCCTGGCATCATGGTCCAAAAATGTAGGACGGGCATTTGATAGAAACCCTTCTAGAACGCCACAATTCGATTTAGGTGTTTTCCAAAACCGAAACTATTGAAGGCCTAACCGTTGTTGTCCAACCGTTGAAGTCCGTTGAAGTGACATGTCGTTCGATTCTGATCAGAAGCGAATCGATAGCGCCATTCTGTCGATCTGCCGAAGAGCCTATCCCGGAGCCGCCAAAAGGACTGAATGCCAAACCCACAGTAGGGTAGCAACCTCCTTCTGGGGTCGTTGTTCGTTCTGGGACTAGTATCAGAGCTGAGGGAAGAGGCTGAGTGCTGTGTGCGAGAGTTTCGGGCTCTTTTATCGTGCGTTGGGAGTCTAGACCTCGGAGGCCGCTGGCAGTACACACATCGTAGTGGATGAGTCGCCCGGGCAATGACCGGGAGATGGATGGAGGGAGGGAGGCCTGTGGAGGAGAATAGACCAAGGAAAAGCTTATAATCGGTTACCTGCCTCAGGACCATATCGTCCAGAAAATCATCGAGTATTTGCGGTTGGAGAGAACATCAGACATCGAATATCTAGTCAAGGAAAGAGACGTTCACCAGCTTCCCAACCATGGGATGGTATATGAACTTCGCTTCTTCATTCTCCAGCAGCAGCAGCAGCCTAATATATACAACGATGCCAGGCCAGCCACACCTTTCATCATAAACCGGGGGAAGACAACAACAATGTGGGCGCAAAAACAAGCAAGGGAATCAAATCCAGTTTTCGACATGCCCAGCTAAACTCCGTATGAACCGCATATAAACCAAGGTGAAAGATAAAACTGTATGTGAGGAAACGTTGACCAATCATGACCCAAAAATTCGCTAAATTGTAAAAACCTTGGTGAAAAAACGTGCGACAAGTGTCACGCGCGGCAGACAATACTTGGGGGTATCATCAGACCCAACAAGGCTTACTCATTTACATGGTGGGAATACCCTCGTACTCGGCGTAGCCAAGGGCAAGGTTCATGTTCTCTGTTGATCTGGTTAGCAGAGGCACTCTTTTAAACTGGAGAGTATAGTAAACTTACGCAGGCACTGGGTAGCGGCACCCTTGAGGAGGTTGTCAATGGTAGCGCAGATGACGACGCGGCGGCCGGACTTGTCAACCTCAAAACCACCAATCTCAACACCGTGCTTGCCGCCGATGTTCTTAACGGAAGGAGCCTCGCCAACGACCTTGACGAGCTTCTCGCCAGCATAGCGGTCCTGGTAGAGTTGACGGATGTCACGGGAAGTCATGCTCTTGTTGAGGGGGATGGAGATGGTGTGGTGGATACCGCGGAACCAGACAGCGACGTGGGGCATGAAGGCAATCTCGGCACCGAGCTGGGCGCTGACCTCACGCTCGTGAATGTGGCCAGTCAAGCTGTAGGGGATGATGTTGTTGGTGAGGTTCTCGACATCGTTCTTGGGAGAAGGCTTGGTGCCAGCACCAGAGTAGCCAGAGACACCGAAGACGTGGGGCATGCCACCGAGGTGGGGAACCAGGGGAGAAATACCGAGCTGGGCGGCAGTAGCGTAGCAGCCGGGGTTGGCGATCTGAGTAGCCTGGATGATGTTGCTGCGCTGGACAAGCTCAGGGAGACCGTAGGTCCACTTGTTGTCAAAGCGGTAATCGGCAGAAAGATCGATAATGACGCTCTTGTGGCCGGAGGCCTTGCGACCCTCCCATACGGCCTCAACGAAGGGCTTGCAGACACCGTTGGGCAGAGCCATGACCCAGCAGTCAATCTCGCCACGCTTCTCCATATCACGGACATCCTCAGGGCTGAGGTTCTCGTAGATAACCTCCTGCTTGTTGTAGCCCTCGAGCTTCTTGCCAGCGAGCTCACGAGAGGAGACGTGGTGGAGCTCCATGTTGGGGTGGGAGTCGATGAGGCGGATCAGCTCCTGGCCGGTGTAACCACGAGCACCGATGAGGGCAACGCGGGCGGGACGGTCCATGGAAGCGTTCTGCTTGCCGACAGGGGGGTTGGGGTTGGTCTGGGTAAGGTAGCCCCTGCGGTTGGAGATGCTGAACTTAGGAAGGGCAGGGCGGCGAGCGAGAGTGGAGTAGCCGCGAACCTGCTGGGCAGCGGGCTTGCTGGCAGCCTGGCGAAGACGAGACTCGAGGTTGGAGTTGCCAAGCATGGCGCGGCCGTTCTCGGTGAAGTCCTTCATGAGCTTGACAATCTCTTCGCCGTTCTCAATGCCATACCAGAACATGACATCACCCTGGCGAGTGATGCTGCCGTCGGCCTTGTCGAAGAACCAGCCAAGGTTCTCATCGTCCTCCTTAACGGTCCAGACGAGGGAGGGGTGTTCCTTCTTGAGGGCAGTGAAGATGTTGTCAGCGACGTTGGTCAACCATCCAGACTTGGTAATAGTAAGAGTGGCAAGGGTGGCCTGACGACCCTCGCTGGCGGGAAGGACGATGGCAAGGGCGTTCATGGAGCTGTCGAAGTAGGCCTTGAAGGGGTTCTCCTTGAGGAAGTCGAGGTACTTCTCAACGGTCTCTTTGGCATCGGGGCCCTCGCGATCGCGGATGAGGACAGACTTGAGAGCCTCAAGGTCCTTGAACTCGGAAAGGCTGGTGGCGGCCTGGAGCTTGCTGCCACGGCGGACAAGAGTACCGGCACCGGAGTCGGTGAAAAGCTCCTTCTGGAGCTCCTCGGGGTGGATGATGGCAACGCTGGTAGTGCGGGGAAGAGTGTCGAGGAGCTCCTTGATCTCCTTGATCTTGAGGCGGGTGCCATACTTGACCCAGGCCTGGGACATGAGGTGCTCGTACTCCTCATCGAGGTTGATGGCGGAGATCTTCTCGCCACCAGCGTCGAAGAGACCACCCTTCTCGGAGAGGTAGACAACCTTGAGGGGCTCAAGGGCACGGGCAAGCTCAGCAGCGGCGACATCAGCGTTGACGTTAAGAATCTGGCCGTCGTCGGTCTCAGCCATGGAGGTGAGGATGGGGAGATAGCCGTTGCTAATGGCAGTCTCGATGGCCTGCTTGTTAACGCCGGTGACATCACCGACAAGACCCCACTTCTCCTTGTCCAGGTAGTCGGCGCGGAACATGCCAGTGGTGAGGGGCTGGGCATGGACACCCATCTCCTCGAGCTTGTTGACGAGCTTGAGGTTCTCCTGGAGGAAGAGATCGCGGGCAACACGGAGGGTCTTGGCATCGGTCACACGGATACCCTCCTCGAACTGGGGCTCAATACCAGCATCCTCGAGGAGCCTGTTGAGCTGGGGACCAGCGCCATGGACAATGACGGGGTAGAGGCCGACAGTGTAGAGGAACTTGAGGGCGGCGCAAAGCTCGTCGAGGTAGTCGGTCAAGATAGCGCCGCCGACCTTGATAACGGCGAAACGCTGGGACGAGACCGAGGTGAAGAGAGAGAGGTACTGCTGGACCTCGCGCTTGGAACCGACCGAGGACAGGGTCTGGACGATCATGCCCCGGGTGGTAAGATCGGTCGAGCGAGCGGCCGAGGTAGAGATCTGACGGCGAGCGGCGGCAGCGCGGGGGAGAGCACGAGCACTCTTGGGAACCCGGCGAACCACGCGACGGGCTCCGGCCCGGAGGGCAACAGCGCAAGCGGAGTACATGTTGAAAGATTTGTTTGTTTCAGCGGCTCGTTAACTCGAGGAGACTATCGAAGCGATCGGTCGACCGGTAATGCGCTCGTCGGAGGGTAGGTATGACGGGCGGGCTGGCGACTCGGATGGTGTTGTACCAAGGAGTGACTAATAGGCTGGCTGCTCTGGATCGCAACTAGAAGAATAAAAAAACTCAATTGTCTGGTTAATTGGCGCGCAAATCACCAACCATTGACAGGCAAGGAACTGAAGAAAACAACGGAGAGGAGAGGAGAGGACCCTAAGCTGACTCCCGAACCCCTTGCCAAAGATCAATGGGTTTGGTATGATGACTGGTGTTCGGGAAGAAGGAGCCGGCGTTCGGAGTTCAATGTTTTTTTATTTTGCAGTGACCTGGTTGCAGTCATCGGCCCAATTCCCATATGCGGGCCTGGCGGGCGAGGGCTGCCCTGGCACTTTTGGCCAAGTCCAGTCCCCCGCCGTCAAGTGTGGAGGAGGGGCAACTGAGAAAAAAAATTGCAACCACAACCGAAACCGCTCAGGGGGGTTGGTGAGGGGATGATGGTACGTACCTGTAGATCGAGATGTTGAAAATGGCTACAATATCATCACATCAAGTGTCGACAATTTTGAGTCGAAGAGAAGAACATGAAGACAAGTAGCACCGAGGACAACCCTGGCAACCCCCTGGTTATCTTTACACTCAGCAGCGTTGACATGATCTTATCAGATGAAAAGATGGCCGCTATTTGTTTACCCCATCCTCCCCCATTTCTCCTCCACATGTTGGTCAACGAAACCGCAGTGTCTCCAGCGTCACAAAGCCAATGCCAAAAAGACATTGGATGCAAGTGACACATTTGTGAACATCCACTGCTGAGTGCTGACATAAAGAAATGACACTTTTGCATATAGCTTTACGCGATATCATTACTTTGTTTTACCTCTCTCTCTGTCCCAAGAGAATGCAAACAAAAAAAAAAAAAAAAAAAACTCTCAAGGTGCACAGTTCGGAGTCACACCGAGGCTCCATCGTATGATGCACCTTGGGACGCATTTCAGGCATTTCACAGTCCATGCCATGGCCCGGGTGCAATGAGTGGACCTGCATCAACGACACCTGCATGGCAGCCGTTGCTCCGGCGTCGCCCCCGTCACCCCGTCCCCGCACCCGGCGAGGTTGCCATCCAGTGCCGACCTCCAAACAAAGCATGCTCTGTAAGTGAGCGATGGGGAAAGGTAGAATTACTATTAGTAGGTGGATGGGTCATAATACCGTCTTGATTAGCCGTTCAAGAGTCGAGAAAAAGAAGAACGCCTCCTCGCCTTTCATCTCATAGATACAGGGTGTGTGTGGTATAAGCGACGAACCTTTCCGCGCCGCCTCTAACAGGTCGTGTTGTTTCCGGGCATCAGTCGAAGAAGTCGTCACCAAGACCAAAGCCAGAGCCATCTCAACCAGCGAGGAGACCATGATAGAACCGCGGCGATAAAAAGTAAGAAAAAAAGCAACCCAAATACTCAATCCCAGTGAAGCACTATTTCCGTTCCCTGCGAATGCTGAAAAGCAAGCCAAATCCAGCTTCGTGCACTTCCTGACAACGTTTCTGTTTCACTCATCATAACCAAATCATTCACAAGCAGCTTAGCGCGTAGCAACGACTAGAAAGAGCCATGTCAGCAGACAGTTCTCAGTACACAAGGTTACGGTCAAAGCCAAACATACCTGCTGGGACAATGATGATTACGAGCAAGATGATGATGCCCACAATCAAGCAGATGCGCATCTTCATGTCCTGTTGCAATCAGTCAGTCAATGGAAAAGCCCTTCCGTACAGCGCAAGCAGCGAATAGTTCATACCTTCCACCACATCTTCTTGCGGACCTGGTTGGCACCACGACGGAAGCCCTGTGCACTAATGGCGAGGTCATCGGTCTTGGTTTGAAGGGCATCGATCCTTTCACCACGCTGAGAGACCTTGTTGATGTTCTCGCGCATCACTCCGACGGTGTCATCGATTTGCTATACTTCCGTCAGCAAAATTCTTAGAAAGGGCCGCAGCATGGGCACAGAGGCACAACGATCCGACTCTAATGCGATGCAATCCGTATCCGTCTGCTTGTCCCAAAATGCCGAATTCTCCATGTAGTAGTTGGGTATGGTCCATGGCCAAACATTTCCGGAGCTTTGTGCTTTGACCGCCATATCCGGAGGAGACCGGGGGCGCAAACCAGTCTTCCGCCCAAGTGCTCGTCCGGATGTTGTTGGGAGCAAGCCGATCGCGTGTTAATGCCATGCAATCCATCAAAAATCCAACAGATCCATCGATCCCGCCCACATGCACCACCTTGGCCATCACGTTCCCTCCCCGAGACGACTGTCAAACGCTAGGCGCGGTATTGTTGACGAATTCTTGCGATTGTTTGACCTCGCGGAAATCAAGCAGACGGACGGACCCAGCATTCCAGGGGTATCGTTCGTTTCCACATTGCCAAAAAGTGACATTTAAAGGGGGAAACAACCCACCTGTTGCAGTCTGGCGGTTCCCGCGTTGTTGCCAGCACCTTGTTGCCCGGCGCCCTGCTGGCCGGCAGGGATATAAGGGTCGTACGGAGCGTCGGACATTGTGTTGGAGGGTGGCTGAATACGAAATAGATCGGGTGTTGTCGATTGAGCTTGAAGCGCGAGCTCAGAAAAAGGAGGATGTGATGGTGTTGTTGGTGTGTCGCGGGTTACGTTGCGAAAAGGATCGTGATTTCGCAGGACGTTGTAGGGAGGGGAGGTCGGGTTGTTGGAATGCAGAAGGTTGGCAATCGGGAAGGCTGGTGAGGTGGTCTGGAGGTTGCAAGACGTTTGGGTTTGCGGAGGAGGGCGCAGGAACGAGGTCAGAGGACAGCCGGGCGGTTTGAACTCAAGTGACGCCAGCAAAGAAGAGGGCTAGGGTACGAGAGTGATTAACGGCATTCATTGCGAACTTCTTGCGCTGCTGTTAGGACTCAAGGTACCCAAGCACGAGCCACAATCCCTTTTACCTCTATCGTTTCCAAGGAAGCCCCACCGACACCCAGGAACCCAAAGATCTGCATTGACGCCAACAATTGTTTCCCATGCGAACCTCTTGTTATCAGGGGCCTGGCCTACGTTCGAGAATTTTGCGCTTTGTTCTTCTTGGCTTCTATTGAGACGCAAAAGGAGACGTGGCTCGGTAGCTACCGCTTTGTGTTTTTTGCTTATGTTTAGAGTTGTCTTATGTCCACTGCATTCTCTTTCAACTCACTCCGCTTCCACTTGGGCTGACGGGAACAGTGAACTGAGTACTCAGCCCACCAACAAGCACTCAGCCAGCCCCTCCATCAGCTTCACCCCTCAGTGGCTATGCAGCTTCTGGTGACGAAACACTCCAAAAAATAGTATAGACTGAATCGTAAAGACGAGGCATGAAAAAATAATAGGCCTAAGTACGTCTATAATTAGGGATATATATTATATCTGTAAAGGATTTCGACGGGGGAGAAGTTATATAATTATATCGTTCGAATATTTATAAATCTTAAAATTTTACAAAGTTTACTATTTTAATTATTTACATTTATAACTTTCTTAAAATAATTCTAAATTACGTAATTGTATATCTTAATTATACTTACGGATATTTAGGATTAGATTAGGGCGATAATAGCGCTAATCCTTCGATATTTTATTACTTTAACGAATTTCCTCGAAGTAAACGCCGATCCTGGGTCAAAATAAAAAGTACTTAGAAGGATTCCAATTTAATTCAATTATCGGTCTACATTTTCGATCGTCTCCTTTACATTCGTAGATTTTACTAGGAAGGCCTAATCATATCGAAACAAATAATTAATAATAATAAAATATATTTAAAACTAAATTTTAATTTTAGGAATAGACTAATATAATTTATACTAATAATTTAAAAGAGAATTAATATATTAATCGATTAGAGAAATATTTTTAATCGTAAAGAATTATATTTAATACACTTTATATATCCTTTTAAATAGTCTATAATATTTTTCAGTATATAAGGCTACTAAATTTATTAAATCAACTTTTTCCTTATTATAAATAGGCTAAAATATCTTTTATAATTATTTATATTTTTTTAAAGTTTATAAAATTTAATTACTAAATAGATATTTTACCTAATTACTATTATACCGACAGTATAGGTTATTATTAAAGAATTTAAAAATTTCGTATTATTTTTCATTTTCCAACGATTATATTTATTAGAGGCTTCCTTACCTAAAATTGAGAATATTACAATTTAATTATACTACGGCAATTCTAAGCATTATTTTTTTTATAAAGGATAAATCCTTTACCTTAACTTTTATTTATTTAAACAGGATAACGTACACCCTCAAATTAAATTTAGAAATAAAGTTATTAAATTAGAAAAGTTTAAATAAATACAACGGGGGTATTAAATATAAGAATTTCTTATTAGAAGTAAAAATATTCGTAGAAAGATAATTCACAATTGCTATTTTCTTAAAACTAAATTCAAAATTCCTTAATATTACATTATTATTATTCTACGTCCATCCGTTAATAATACTACCGATTTCCGCAAAATTAAAATTAATTTAAACCTTAATATCTTTATTCACTAATTTTACTAATAATTCTTTATACTTACCTTTCCTATCCTTCTATATCTATTCTCTATCTATTAATATATTACTTATTTTTTCCATTTAGCTTTCCCTTTCATAATTAGGATTACTAAAGATAGTCCAGGATAGGGCGTCCGTTATAATATTTCGATGGCTAAATATATATTAAATTATAATATTGAATAATTTAAATTCGGTTATCCATTAAATATAAATACTTTTTACTTTTATTATAGGATGAAGAAAGGTTATTAAAAATATATAGTCCGTTTAGAATATTAAAGATTTTCTATTTATATAAAAGTAATAACGGTACTAATAGGAAAATTCATAATTATAAAGAATTCCTATTTATATATATTATAATTTCGTTATATTAAACCTAATACTACCGAATTATAGTATAAAGGTATTAAACTTTCTAATAAGCTTTAATTCTATAGAATTACACATCCTACTATAAATTTGGATACGTCCATATAAATATCAATAAATTTACTATATATATAACGATAGATTTTAATGCTTTTAATTGTTATTTCCCTTAATAATTAAAATAATAAGGCTTCTATTATTTTCTACCTTTAGGGAACGTTTGTTATTAAACAATTTAATAATTTAGCTATTTTAGAAATATTTATAATCTAGCGACGAAATAGACCTAATATACTTATAAATAATCGTACCTAAATCTTTATTTTAAGTACTAACTAACTTCTTAATAAAATTATTCTATTTAATTTAATTTTCCATCTACCTTAAATACCATAAATAATACCTATTACCACAATTTTATCGAATCTAAATTTAATTTAAGAAATAATAATTTTAATATTTTCTACGAAATACGCGGTACAAAGTAGTTTCGAATAAATAACCATTATTAATCCTAAGATTTATATATTACAAATATATTATTTATATAAAAGTTTATTAGAACAAATCTATCGGGAGAGGAGGGTACTAATAAGGAGGGTTCTAAATTTAAGTTAAAGATCGGGCCTAATACTATTAATATAGTATTCATTATTATAAAACTATATATTTATAATCCTTATAGTAACTTCATCGATGAAAATTAAAAAAACCCTAAGGGCTTAAAAATAAAAATATATTAATTATTGTTATATACTTAAATTAATTAATATACGTACTTTAAATCGAATACTAATAAGTAACCAATCTTAGAATTTAATGAATATTTATAAATATCGCGAAAGAAAGTAATATTTATACTGAATAAATCCTCCCCAACTCTACTATAATTAATTATTAAACGAAGTTTATCCTATTCTATAGAATTATTTAATTTTACTACTAACTTAGGTTCGGTGGACTATTTTAATAAACAACTATTCGCTACTACTATAAGTTTAAATATACCCGAATTAATACCTTCTATTACTAGTCTATTAAGCTAATATCTCTACTTAATTAACTATATATAATATTGTAAACAATTCTAAAGTTTAACGCCTTCTTTAAAGAATATTTTATAAATAGTAAAGTCCGTTGTAAGAATATCTCTTATGGATTTTATATTTAAATTATAATATATATAGAAAGTTTTATAATTTTCATCTTCGTTTTTAAAGTAATTAAGGAACTAAATTTAATTCCGTATATTTTAAATTATTTTATTACTTTAATATTAAATATACTTTTTTAATATTAGGATCTTATAATAAATAATTCTTTATAATATCGGGAAGGATTTTATTTACAGAAGATCTTCCGGGTAAAGTATATTATATATTTTTAAAATTACTTTCTAAAGGGTAAGGGTATTCATTAACGTATTTAAGAATATTAATAATATAAAATTATTAATACTTAGGTTTGAAAATCCGATTCTAAGCGTAAAGCAATAAAACCAATCGTTATTAAATAGTAAATAAGTAATAGGGGATTAATATTTCGAATATAATTAAATCTGAAATTAAAATCGAAAACAATATTTATTAATCTGAATATAAGTATATATAATTTTCTAATTTACTAAAATCGAATAAATATATCTAATGTTTTAATTTATTTATAGTATTATCTTTAATATTATTTAGCTTATTATTTATATTAACTTAGATTGGGTTATTATTCGTATTATTCTAATATATAATTTTATTTACGTTGGGTTTTAAATTATTAAAGGTAATAATATTATTCAATTTAGTATTAAATTTACTATTGAAATTAAAATCGTTTTCGGAATTAAATTAGGAATCTACGCCCGAATATAATAGGTACAATATATCGTTTATATACCCGTCGCTAGAATTATTACTAAAATTTAATTTACATTCTCCGATAGGTTTAAATATTTAGAAGTTTAGAACTTTAGTACTAATAAGAATTAAAACTGTTTTTAGCATTCCTACTAATTAAGGATTTGGCCGGGTAATTGAATTACTTTATCGCCCTAATTTTCGTTTCTAATTTAAAAAATACTATTCCTAATATTAAATTTAATACGAATATCCTATAATTATAGGGTTCCTAAAATTATCCAGTAATCCTTATTAAATAATAATTTATAAATTGCAATTTAAACTATTCTATTAATATTTCCTACCGAAATAATTATATTTCTAAACCCGTATAGAGGAATATTCCTTTTATTAAAAATCGAAATATATAGATTTTTAAATCCGATTTCAGCTAAGGGCTGTATCGTTATACCTATCCAGTAAGCGAACGCTTTGGATATAAAGTTAGTATCTAAGCTTTAATCTATATAAATAAATTCCTTTAGTATATATAATTTTTATAATCCATCCTCTCTTTAAATATTAACCAATATAATAAATTGAAATAAATAATAATTTTATTTAACTTTATAAATTATTTAAATAAGGCGTTTCTTTTAATTAAGAAGGGGTTTTTCCGAATTTATTAAAACTATTTAATAAATTACAATTATTACTACTTAAGTAATATAAGAGTCGATAGTAGTATTAGCAATTTTCTTCCCCTTTTTTCATTTATAACGAAAATTAATACGGGAATAATAAAATTTAATAGCTTTCACTATTTTACGGCTCGATTAAATCTATCTAATAAAATTTAAATTTAGAGTAAACTAAATATTATTAAGGATTTTAATATAATTCAAAGGGGGTTTTCTAATTAATTTATTAATTAGACGTAATTAGGTAATATAGTATTATACTTTCTTATAAATTATTATAATTTTTAATTTTAATTTAGGTTTTAAATCTACTTTATTAAAGTTCTCTATTAACAGTTTAAGGCTTAGTTTAAGTGTATTTAGAGAAAATTCTAATA